ACCCCTTCAACCTTTCCTGTTAGTATGAATTTAATCCTATGTACAGTTTTTGAATAATCATACAATTTGCTTTAAGGAAACCCGCAGGTAATGAGCGGGAGCAAAAATTTGTATATTTTCGTATGGATCTCCATTCGTAGGTCGATCGAGTGTACGCCAATGGTATCATCCTGTTTCTGACAACTCCTTCAACCTTCCATGGTAGTATGAATTAAATCCTATGTACAGTTTTTGAATAATCATACATTTTGCGTTAAGGAAACTCGCAGGTAATGAGCGGGAGCAAAATTTTGTATATTTTCGTATGGATCTCCATTCGTAGGTCGATCGAGTGTACGCCACTGGTATCATCCTGTTTCTGACAACCCCTTCAACCTTTCCTGTTAGTATGAATTTAATCCTATGTACAGTTTTTGAATAATCATACAATTTGCTTTAAGGAAACCCGCAGGTAATGAGCGGGAGCAAAAATTTGTATATTTTCGTATGGATCTCCATTCGTAGGTCGATCGAGTGTACGCCAATGGTATCATCCTGTTTCTGACAACTCCTTCAACCTTCCATGGTAGTATGAATTAAATCCTATGTACAGTTTTTGAATAATCATACATTTTGCGTTAAGGAAACTCGCAGGTAATGAGCGGGAGCAAAATTTTGTATATTTTCGTATGGATCTCCATTCGTAGGTCGATCGAGTGTACGCCACTGGTATCATCCTGTTTCTGACAACCCCTTCAACCTTTCCTGTTAGTATGAATTTAATCCTATGTACAGTTTTTGAATAATCATACAATTTGCTTTAAGGAAACCCGCAGGTAATGAGCGGGAGCAAAAATTTGTATATTTTCGTATGGATCTCCATTCGTAGGTCGATCTAGTGTACGCCACTGGTATCATCCTGTTTCTGACAACTCCTTCAACCTTCCATGGTAGTATGAATTAAATCCTATGTACAGTTTTTTAAATAATCATACAATTTGCGTTAAGGAAACCCGCAGGTAATGAACGGGAGCAAAATTTTGTATATTTTCGTATGGATCTCCATTCGTAGATCAATCAAGTGTACGCCAATGGTATCATCCTGTTTCTGACAACCCCGTCAACCTTCCCTGTTAGTATAAATTCAATCCTATGTAGAGTTTTTGAATAATCATACAATTTGCTCTAAGGAAACCCGCAGGTAATGAGCGGGAGCAAAAATTTGTATATTTTCGTATGGATCTCCATTCGTAGGTCGATCGAGTGTACGCCAATAGTATCATCCTGTTTCTGACAACTCCTTCAACCTTCCATGGTAGTATGAATTAAATCCTATGTACAGTTTTTTGAATAATCATACAATTTGCGTTAAGGAAACCCGCAGGCAATGAACGGGAGCAAATTTTTTATATTTTCGTATGGATCTCCATTCGAAGGTCGATCGAGTGTACGCCACTGGTATCATCCTGTTTCTGACAACCCCTTCAACCTTTCCTGTTAGTATGAATTTAATCCTATGTACAGTTTTTGAATAATCATACAATTTGCTCTAAGTAAACCCGCAGGTAATGAGCGGGAGCAAAAATTTGTATATTTTCGTATGGATCTCCATTCGTAGGTCGATCGAGTGTACGCCAATAGTATCATCCTGTTTCTGACAACTCCTTCAACCTTCCATGGTAGTATGAATTAAATCCTATGTACAGTTTTTGAATAATCATACATTTTGCGTTAAGGAAACTCGCAGGTAATAAGCGGGAGCAAAATTTTGTATATTTTCGTATGGATCTCCATTCGTAGGTCGATCGAGTGTACGCCACTGGTATCATCCTGTTTCTGACAACCCCTTCAACCTTTCCTGTTAGTATGAATTTAATCCTATGTACAGTTTTTGAATAATCATACAATTTGCTCTAAGGAAACCCGCAGGTAATGAGCGGGAGCAAAAATTTGTATATTTTCGTATGGATCTCCATTCGTAGGTCGATCTAGTGTACGCCACTGGTATCATCCTGTTTCTGACAACTCCTTCAACCTTCCATGGTAGTATGAATTAAATCCTATGTACAGTTTTTGAATAATCATACAATTTGCGTTAAGGAAACTCGCAGGTAATGAACGGGAGCAAAATTTTGTATATTTTCGTATGGATCTCCATTCGTAGATCAATCAAGTGTACGCCACTGGTATCATCCTGTTTCTGACAACCCCGACAACCTTCCCTGTTAGTATAAATTCAATCCTATGTAGAGTTTTTGAATAATCATACAATTTGCTCTAAAGAAACCCGCAGGTAATGAGCGGGAGCAAAAATTTGTATATTTTCGTATAGATCTCCATTCGTAGGTCGATCTAGTGTACGCCAATAGTATCATCCTGTTTCTGACAACTCCTTCAACCTTCCATGGTAGTATGAATTAAATCCTATGTACAGTTTTTGAATAATCATACAATTTGCGTTAAGGAAACAGGAAGCTCGCGGGTAATAAGAACAAAGTCTATGGAGTAAATCACCCCCCTGAATTTGTTCAAACAATTCCTCAAACTTCCCGCAAATTCCACCAAAATCCCGAAAAATTTCTCCAAACTGCTCGCAAGTTCCCTGCAAATGCCTGTTACAAATTCCATAAAAATCCCCAAAATTGTTCGTGATAAGAAATGCATTTTTCTATTTTTACTATTTTCAGTATTAAAACCAATAAATTTCCTCGAATTTCCCATAAATTTCTTAAAGTTCCCCACAAATTCCTCTAAATTTCCCGCAGTTTCGGCTAAGAATTCCTAGGTGGTTTGCCCTTTGGTATTGATGGTATCGAATATAATAAGTTTTCACAAAACAAAAATTTCGAAAAGACATACCCACTAATGACCAAGCAATCAAAATCCGATTACCATGTTTAAAAATTAACGATATCCAAAAGGAACGCACAATGGAAGTTTTCCATTTCTAGACACGCAAACTCCTAATAATATTAGTCGACCCGATAAAGCTCTATATTTTTCCGAAAGAACATAAAAAGTTTAAGGGCGAAAATCGAATTATCTCTAACCAGTGTGTCGCGCATTTTCTATTGTCAATCCAACTCGGGAATTGGGTTGGAGAAAATTTCGCAAAAAGCACAAGTTCCGCATAGAAGCGAAATAATTCCAACAATGTTGTGCAGTTAAGGCGATAAACGCAAACACAAATTGGAGGAAACAAATGGGGTAATGTTCCCCCTTGCAATCCCCTTTGGGAACATTGCCAAATAAGTTCAATTATGAGCCAGCAACAGAAAACGGCGCGTTTGTGCATGTGTGTACTTTAAATTTACTCTCTCTCTATGCAATTGTATGAGCTCCCGAAATTGCATTCAGACACTGATAATATCGATTGTAATTTCAGATTATGTTTTCAAGAATTACAGATGACTGTGTAATGAATAAACTGAGACTCATATTATAAGCTTAATCTAAATACTACTGGAACAATTTTTGTTTAAATATACTTTTGAATGCTATATTTGTCACAAAATTTTATTCCTCTTCATTTTTGTTTTATTTTAAAAAAATTCCAGGCACTTATAAGTTATTCCAACAGTTTCCAAACAATGTATAAAGCGCTAGAATTTATTTTTGAGGGAAATAGTTGTCGTCGGGCTAAAAAGTTTTCGCGATAGCGACAATATGCTTTGCAATGTTTATGCAGCGTTTTTTCAAAATTCCAAATAAAGTAAAAAAATTTGTTTTAGTTTTAATTTATCGCGGATTTAATTTAAAACGCGAGCCAATCGATAGTGACTAGGCAAAATTGTTTGCCTTTCTGGTCCGATACACTTTCAACAAAGGAAATTCCTCTAACAAAATTGTTTTAGTTATTCGATTTTCAGTTGTTCGCTTCCCTAATGAGCCAACAAGCCAACATTAACTCGGACTTAATTAAACTTTTTGTTTATGAATACAGAAAATTTTCAAATCAATAATCTATCAAAAGAATTCATTTTTGAAACCTCCTCCGACGAGCCCGTTTTCTCGTTATCAAGCAAAATCGATTTCTTTGTCAAAATGTAAAAAAAAAGGTTGAAAAATTCCAACGAGACATAATAATAACATTTTCTTTATTGAATAAAGTAAGAGGACCAGATGAAAAGAATAAATGCGATAAGGCTCCGAAAATCTCAGAGAGAGAGGTCGGTCCTTTTGGAAATCTCCTAAGGAATATTTATGCAAATGCAAAAACACAAATCCGACTGAAAATATAAAGGACCCAATCATCATTCAAAAAAGGACGTGTAAAAGGGATTTTTTTCTTCTTTGCTTCCATTTTAATATTTCACTGAAGTGGGATTTTTCGGTTGGAAGAATTACTTTTCATTCGCAGAATGGGATTTTCGTGGGCTGATAACTAAGACAAAATTTCACATGAAAATTGGGTAGACCATAAAGTTACTGGATGAATATTACTTTTAGAGAATTATTATCGAAGCGATAGACGGAGTTGGAGTTTATTTTGCAGCTCTTTTAGTTTCCCATTAACATTTTGAAGCTAAACAGATGATGATACGGAACGCCTTTTCTAAAACATTTTTAGAATACACTGACTGGTTGCACCCCAAAAAGAAAATCCCATAGCTCAATTAATGTAAAATTATTCCTGATATCAGAGGAAAGCTTCTTATGTAACTTGAAAATACGATCCTTGAATTCTGCAGGGGAATATTGTCCTGCATGCAACTTTCAACTGATTATTCCTGAACATTTACCGGCTTTGCAAAAACACTTTCCTGCTGGCTACAGTTGATTTTTAATTAAATTTTAATTGCATGGAGAGAAGCCGGGTTTTTTGAAATACTTATCTTCAAGAACCAAGAACTCTCAAGAATTTTTTTGCAATAAAATTTGTGGTAACAGATCATGCCTGTAACAATATCTAATTGAAAGAAGCTTCAAAATCTTCATGAATATTTACACAATTTATTGGTATAAGATGGTCCAGTTATTAGTAACAAAATTTATAAATCATTTAATAAATAAATTCTTACATTTTTGCCGGTTCACCAAAGAATCTTAGCGCCACGCTGTCTCAAGCAGCTTTCCCCAGCTGCTCAGTACACAAAAGCACAAACTCGTTTTTTTTTTTTGTCCGAGCCTCAACTTTCGAGGCCTTTTCTGTTCCACATTTTATTCACTCAGACACAAAGGAAAATTTCAATTAATAACAAAATCATTTTCGTAGTAAAAATGTAAACACGTCCAAAGGGCGCTCAACCGTGCGAGACCTTTCGGCGGTCCCTTAAGCTCTGCGATTGTGATTGGGATTCCCGGTTTGCAGAGCTGCACTTTGGATGTTGTGTGTGACGTAGGGCTCCGCTGGCTCTCGCGGCCCAGAGCGATGGTGGGGGAACGGCGTGGTGTTCAAAATTTCGGCTATTGTTCGAGATTATAATGATCCTTTTCTCCGGTTTTCTTTTTTTCAGGGTAGTCGTCATTAGGAAAAGTACTTTTTGAGTGGAGGTCATTAAAAATTGAATAATTTTGCATCGATGTTTGCGAATAAATGAGTACACCCTCTCTTCAGAATCAGAATTTATAAGACTTATTAGGATCTTAGATGTAAAATGCTGATAATGTTTCTTTAAAATCCAGTGATATTGTCATGGATTCCGGCTTCACTAGAACTCAATTCATAAACAGTACTTTTATTAAACTATCACCAATCTTCTTGTTTCTTTTCTACATTTCGTTGATCTATTTCTCGAAAAATGTGTTCTTCTTGATCCGCATCCAATCGAAAGTTTCTAGCAGGTACTATTTCTAGCTGATCAATTCTGAGACAGTTCTTGTCTTAATCTGGGTATGCTCGGCGTTGCAAGTTCTTAATCGGAGGTTGGCAGTCAGAAACTTGTTAGATCAATTTTCATCGTTGCTTTAACAATTTTTGATCGAATTCCAAGAGTTTCAATCAATAAATTGCTAATTGAAGCTCAATAATAACAGCAACCTCCATAGAATGACGAACATGATTCAGTAATAGAGAACTTGAAACTATTGTTAAGTGAACAATCCCATGAAATTGAGAATTACCAAGGTATGAGTGCAAACTTCAAGGCAGAAATTGTTGATCTTAAAAATACGATGGAAAAATTGAACGAATATACTAAAGAATTGAATAGCATGGTAGACTCTATTCGAGTTTTGGAAAGTGAAATTAAATCTTATCGTAACGAAATAGAAAACCTCAAGATCGGGTAGCCTAGATAAACCTTCCATTTTGAAAAAAAATATTGGTGAATGAGACATTTCTATCAACATCTAATGGAACAGTTATCAAAATCCATGCATATTCAATCACATCCCACAAGTACCGTCATAAGGGAACTTGCACATTTTTTTTTTTATTTCAAAAATGTGTTCTACTACACTAAAGACATAGTCATGCCAAATATCAAGCATTAAAAATCAGCCATTATTTTTTTATAAATATTCGAAGTTACTTTCGAGCGTAAGTTACGCTCGAAACATCACCATTTGAAACGACCGATTAGTGTGACGTCACTCGGCAACAAAATTCCGATGACACTTCGAACTTCGAGCAGGTAGATTAAGATTATGGTTATGTTGTTATGTATGCAGTTTTTGATAGATTTGACATCGGCGACAGCAGCAGCACATGACGTGGCAGCGGCGCGACCCGATTATTACTGCCTTGTGACGTCACGGCCCATAGAAACACGTTTTTGATCGCGTCATGAATTTCGAATTATTTGGTATTTTCAATCGAAGATTTTGGACACCAGAGATAAGATATTATATTTTTTTCCTAATTGCATCATTTATTAGGATGATTGTTATTGTGTTTTATTATTTATTCCATATTTAATTTAATGTGCAAGTTCCCTATTATTAATAGTCAAGGACAAAAATATCCAGGGTTTGCAAGGTCACATTAGGAAACATTTCCAGAAAACTAACATTACTATGTTTGGATCCCCCCTCCATCTCAGAAGACTGTGTGTTACGATAAATTTATCATTTACGTAACATGTTCCATCTCTTCTTATTTTCATTATAAAGTTGTATTTTTTTCATTTCAGAATTCAAAATAATTTCCAATATTCTAAAAATATCCATTAAATTCAAGTGCCGCCATCTATCCATTTGCGTAAAATGCTCGGTAAAATGCAAGTATCGAGAATTGATTTTTTATTACTGCCATCTAGTGCCCGATGATCGATCTATATTTCAAATTATTATTTCTTATTTCGCATTTGGCAGTAATTTGTATTTTTAATTGAAAGAAATTATATTCATCTCACTTTTAGCAAATGGATATATTTCTGTCCTTTTTCAACTTCTGATTTTTAAATATTCATTTTTGGCTTAATGATCTAGTTAATTAACAGTCTTTTATTTTTGACATAACCTTAATTTAAATTATTATAATTTGTAAACAATTAAAATAGTTTTAGTGGATTTTTATCTATTTTCGTTTATTCCATGCGGTCTTTTTATTGTGTTTTCATTTTGAAGTGAATATGGTCTTCTGGGTGTACTTGTTTGATTGGTTCAGACAGGTTGGAATGCAGTTAAGTATAAAAAAACACAGGAACGTTTTCCTGCTAGCTTGGTTCTCTAAAAGGTTTTCTTCTTGAAGAACACTCTGGCCAGGCAAGTCCTCTATTTTTTAAAATAATTTTGTGCTTTGAATTTCTGGATCCTCCCCTATAGATTTTTCAATATTCAAATTATCCTATCTTTATTAAGTTTTTACCTAATAAATCTTATCTTATCTGTTTTTAAAATATAAATATTATATTTTAAGTTTTTTTATCTAATTGTTGGCTTCCATTTTGTGTGAATTACTTTACTTATTGGAGTGCCACGTTTTGTTATAATTTGTAAGTCAAGTCAAGACAGTTTTTTTTTTTTTGGTTTTAAATAGGTACTGCTGTTCTGGCTTTCAGAATTAATTTTTAGTGTGGGAAAATTGGACCATTTGCTCTAAATAGAGTCGGTGAAAACCAAATTTGTGAGTCCATCCCCATTAATTCTTTATTGAATCCAGGCAGAGGCCTGAACAACCATTTTCTGTTTGACTCCTTAAATTGTTACCTAAACAAAAAAGGTGTAATTTTTTAATAGAATTCCAGACAGGTCAAAAATTCAGTTAAAAAGTTTTAATTAAAACATCTCAAGAATTTTGACACATTCTGGATTTGATTAATTTCAACCCTAGGTTTATCTAGTATCTGTGGTAGCTAACTTAGTTCGAGAGGAGGATTTTGTCTACCTTATTTTTGCTCATATTTTTGCCGGCCAGAGCTGTTTTCAAGGAAGCAGCATTTTGCTCATTTGTAACGAGCATTCTAATTTAATCTTGTTATTACTTTTTTTTTATTATCTTACCATTAATCTTAATTATTTAATTATTTTTTTTTATATTAAAATATATAGGTATATTTTTTTTTTTAACTTGCAATAGTTTTTCATACCTGATTCTGTTGGAAGGGAGTGCCTGTACAACAATCATTTTATACTAAATTTCAACTTCAATTTCTTTTGCAAGACACTCACTTTTTGACAGAATTCAGGGATTTAATATTCCAAATATTGGTGAACCTGATACTGCCTTATTCTTTTCTGGCTACCTACTCTGCATAAAGATCACTATTTAGAGTCTGGATCAGCTGGAGTGACGTCACCCCAGCAATCTATCCTCTTCCTGGATACAGGAAACAACACCAGCTCCAGTTCACGAAAGTGAAACTCCAACACCCATTGAAGAGCTCCGAATTGGAAAGCAGGTACTTGGTATCAGATTCACCAGGAAACACCAAGCTGTTAACATTGAAATTACACATAACATTGTCAACAAAATAAAATAAAATTGTTTGTTGGATGTTGAGTGGTTTCATTTGCACACAAAGGGGCTACACGTTATCTTAATTTTTCTTTGAATTCACGACCCTAGGTTATCGTATCTGAAAGTATACAAATCCAATTTTATTTGTAACATGTGTAAAGCAAACTGCTGAAAGGACAATTGACATCATGTACTTCCTAGAATTACAGCAAATTAACCAAATACATAATGCGTCTTGTACAATGCTTGATCTGATTTTTGCTGATGAATTTGACAAGACTGTGGTGACCTGCAGCTCCGTTTCGCTTTTACCAATGGATCCTCATCACCCAGCTACCGAAATAACTTTGAACTTCCATTTCATCAATAAGCTAATCAGTCATAACTCGACAACTATCCATCAATATCGGCACGCAGATTACATAAGCCTAAATCAGTACCTACCTGAGTAGGTACCACTGATGGGAGTTTCATTTGTAACACTGAAAATTTCGCAAATGTTATATGCCAGTTTTATAACATCCTGTATGATGATATTTATCAATGTGTTCCTAATAGTCCAGGAGCTGGCGTCGAAAATATGCAAGAGTTTTCGCAAGGCTCATGTTTTCAGAATGAGTAGCATTTTAGTGCTACAAAGCTAGGCTACAGTCAGCAGTTCCAGTTCCGGGATACCTGGCGCTGAGATGCGCGCAAAGGTGTATTTTTAATCAACACCTCGCAACAGTTTTCGCAAAGCTGAAAATTTGCAAAGAGCATGCGAATATAATGTAGAACCATAATTTAACAGTCAGATAAAGAAATACGGGGACACGTAGAGTCAGCGCGACTTTGAAGTGGTCAAAAAAATGACGTCACCGAAAGTGTTTTCGCATGGCTGAAATTTGGCAAGGTAATAGTAAAAACAATATATTTATTGAAAAAAACAGTCAGACACTTCTATGTCGGGACCCCGCCAGTCAGCAGTCGATTAAAGTGATATAGGTGGTAGCGCGCGTCAATAGAATTTTACTCTATATATATCCATTTCGATGAATAATTTTATTTCTATAATTTAAATTATTTGGAATCGGAAACGGTAAAATAAAAATAAATTTCTCTTAATGAGTAAGTGTAAACCTGTAAGTTGCAAGCGTAAGCGCGTATACTTGAATAAGGCGTATATGCATTCGAATTCGGAAACTTCATTATGGTACTGTTAGGTCGAGATTAGGGGAACGGAAGCGGCAGATGTGCGACAACCATCGAGCTTTAAACTGCTAGAGGGATCAACAAGCATATTTGTTTTGTTCCATAATGAGGTAGCGGGATCAGAGGGGTGATTCATCCGATAAACAAAACGGATGAAATATCTGCAGGTAATTTTTGCTAATAAATTCATAGATATAATTCGAAATTTTGTTTTTTAATGTGAGTGATTACTTATCATTGAATATTTGTTTTACGCAGATTCGGAATCCACAACTACAGAGGGCGTCGAAGAATATGGAGCAGTAGTATTTTATTCTGACGAAGAAAGTGGTGAAGAACACGATGACAGTAATTTGGAAAATTGAATTTCATTTTTGTAATTTTTCCCCATTAATTTTTTTCTATTTAAGTGATTAGAATTTTTTTTTTGTATTTTATAAAATCGGCGACGATTATAAGTATTTAATCTACGTCGGTGTCATTATGACACATTTAGCATTGTCATTTGAATGCCATTAGGTCCTTCATAATAGCACTAGTGCGTTTAAGAATTCATAAAAACACCCAAATTATGAAATGAAAAATATACAAAAAGAAAGCTAGTTATCAGAAGAACCTTTTCACTGATGCTGTTTGGATATTTGAAGGGACACTTTCGAACTCAGAATCACCAATATTAACATTATTTTCCACTATAAAACTGAGTTTATCGCACAAAAATTGACTCCAATATTAAAGCTGCCAAAGTCAAAATACTAAAAATCAACAAGCAGGTTCCCGACTAGTACGGGCACCTGCTGAATTTTGAATTTTAATTTGAAAAGTATTTGGTATTTCAAGGCAAATCAAATCTATTTGGACCATCGTAGAGTTAAATTTTGAATGATACACGTTCGATATGAACTTAATTAATGAAACTTGTGTAACTAAACCACTCGGCTGACGCCTCGTGGTTTAACGTTACACGCGTTTCATTATGGTGTTCATATCGAACTAGTATCATTAATAACTATAATGAAACTACAATAAATATAATTAAAACTGAATTTATTTAATTACTATATACTATCACAGTACTGCTGATTAAATGGTCCAGTAATATTTATACGAATCGGGCTTTTTTCTAACCGCAAACTTTTTAATATTTTTAACTGCATGTACAATTTTATTTTACCGTTTCCGATTCCAAATAATTTAAATTATAAAAATAAAATTATTCATCGAAATGGATATATACGGTGGATGGCGTATTAGACATTTATGGAGAACTAAAAAGCGGATAATTTTGAAAATTTGGCAACCGGGATAAACGACCATGATCTACACTTTAAAAATATTTTTGTTTATGCGGTGTTGCCGCTTCTACTATAAACCAGTGGCAACAGCGCTATTTTAAATGGAACAACCTGTGTGTGATTACATATTTCGATTCTACGTAAAATTCTGAGCAGATGTTATGTGATATACCCCATACCTAAGTTCAACTGTTTTGGAAATATTGACAGTTGAAAATTGACTTTTTGCAACTTTGACAGGCTGTAAAACCTGAAAGGTTAATTTTAGAGAAAAACCGATTTTACATTCCTGTCTTAGATTTTTATAAAATATCATTCGACACCAACTTCAAATTTAATCCATGATTAAAAATTCCAATTAAATTTAATCTTCGGTTAAATTCAAAGTTGGTGTCAAATGATAGTTCATGAAAATCTAAGACAGGAATGTAAAATTGGTTTTTCTCCAAAATTAACCGTTCAGGTTTTACAGCCTGTCAAAGTTGCAAAAAGTCAATTTTCAACTGTTAATATTTCCAAAACAGTTGAACTTAGGTATAGGGTATATCACATGAAATATGCTCAGAATTTTACGAAGAATCGAAATATGTAATCACACACAGGGTGTTCCATTTAAAATAGCGCTGTTGCCACTGGTTTAGAGTAGAAGCGGCAATACCGCATAAACAAAAATATTTTTAAAATGTAGATCATTATAGAGTAAAATACTACTGACGCGCGCTACCACCTATATCACTTTAATCGACTGCTGACTGAGGGAGTCCCGACATAGAAGTGTCTGACTGTTTTTTTCAATAAATATGTTGTTTTTACTATTACCTTGCCAAATTTCAGCCATGCGAAAACACTTTCGGTGACGTCATTTTTTTGACCACTTCAAAGTCGCGCTGACTCTACGTGTCCCCGTATTTCTTTGTCTGACTGTTAAATTATGGTTCTACATTATATTCGCATGCTCTTTGCAAATTTTCAGCTTTGCGAAAACTGTTGCGAGGTGTTGATTAAAAATACACCTTTGCGCGCATCTCAGCGCCAGGTGTCCCGGAACTGGAACTGCTGACTGTAGCCTAGCTTTGTAGCACTAAAATGCTACTCATTCTGAAAATATGAGCCTTGCGAAAACTCTTGCATATTTTCGACGCCAGCTCCCCGACTATAAGAAAACCATAAAAACTGATAAATATCCATAATGGTTTAGCACCGACCTCCGAATTTCCATTGCTCTTAAAAATAAAACTTACAAGATATATGTGAAAACCCGGACCCCAAGTGATTATACAATGCCTACTCAAATATCCGACGAGAAGTTAGAGCAATGGCTGATATGTGTTATTTACTTTATGTTACCAATACTGAGCACTTGATTCCTGAAAATATCAAGCACTTTTGGTCAATAATCTCAAAAGGTATTCAGGCCTTCCGGCCCAAATGCTACATAACGGGAAAACAGTGACCAATCCTAAAGATATTGCTGAGGCATTTGCATCTCACTTCCAATCAGCATATACCAACGAACCCATTTTAGATTTGAGTCGGATGGATCCAGTGAGATTTGCTGGTGTTCTCTCTACCCACAATTTCACTACTGAAGAAATATGTGAAAAACTGAAGAAGCTCGAAACGTCAAAGAAAGCAGGCCCCAATGGTGTCACAGCTGTCATGCTGAAAACTTGTGCAACTTCTCTTGCTTCACCACTTGTCCGTAGCACACTAGAATTCTGCTCAACTATTTGGACCCCCAAATACAGTATCCACAAAAGCAGACTAGAAAGGGTTCAAAATAAGTTCACAAGTACCTTGCATAGTTATCTCAGTTTGTTTCTATTTATTTTGTACAAACATCCAACATCAAATCTCTAAAAAACATGTAGCCTGACATAATTTAACCCCTGTCACAGACCACAAATTATTCATAAGACTTTTTAAATCGTCTTTTTAAAAAACCCTCAGATAATAATGTAAAAATTTTCTCCCAGTCTCCGTCCGAAATATGGCGGTCGCTATTTTATTAGATCGTAAAATATTACGAAGTTTCTCCCGTGGCGCGACGCACTCATTGTTTTATATCAGCGAGAATAATGTTTATTTTTTTTCTTTGTGGGGAATAATAATTAACTCTTGAGGGGGGTGCAATTTTGAAATTTTATTCACTCAATAAAAATCACTGTGAATTTATCGAGTGAAGATGCAGGCTGACAAAGGAGAATTAATGGCATTCCCTGCAACGAGTAACGTAAACGATTTGCTGAGACCACTTCAGGATGTTCATTTGTGTTCATGTCAAGTATGTCGGAGAGGAAATCTTGGGGGATGTAATTTTCTCGCTTGATATTTTCTCCCCAAAAAATAATCAAATAGTACGTCAATGATCACAAGTTAAGTAACTTCAATCATCAACTTGTTGATTAAGACAAGAGTTTTTTACATTATTGTTGAGGCTATGACACGCATTTGATTGTCTTGAGTCAGGAGTTGAAAATCTAATATTTTTATCAAGTTGTAGCCCTCAAAACATCCTTAAAAGTCAATATATAGCAATGAGGAGGCAGTTACAGACAATTTCTTTGTTGTAAACTTGCAAGAACTAACTTTCCAACAAAAATTAAAGTATAACAATGTTTTGCTGTAAACTTCTAAATTGAAAAGTTACTTTTCAAAAAACCCTACGGTTCCCTTGTTAATGTTAACCGCCATCCACAAAACTATTCTCGTCACTCTTGGTCCAAGTTCGTTAACTTTGGCCGACGCCATAAAGTACGTATATAGAGAGAGTTTGAGATCCATCGAAACTTGGCAAAAGCAAAAGACGTTTCGATCGGAGCTCGAATGTGCCCATCGGGAGTCGTTAGGGGAAAGATCCATTCATTACACACCAGGAAACGTACATAAGAAACTCGGCGCGAGCGTTTCAAAGGGCCCCTTTTGACACATCGGTTTATAATAGGCTAAAAGCTTCCAGATAAATAGACAGAGAGTGGTTTTTCGTTGGCAAAAGGAACTTTCAACCTTTTGAAGTTTGTTCTACAATAGAAATATATCTTGCTTCAACAATTAATTTCTTGGCAAATTGGGAGAAATACAATAATTACCAAAGCTAAAACATAAATTTTGTTTTGCAGGCAACGCAATTACAACATTAATGGAACTTAAATATGTGGCTTTGTCCAGGAAATTTAATTATTTCCTTGAAAAATTGTTTGACCGTTTTTCTTTCGGCGATAAACGAGGACAACTGCAATATTTCGCAGCAAGACACCTTCCTCTAATTTTTTTTTAGGGTCTAATAAAACGGACACATAATGTATTTCGGGGATTATTCTTCCAGATTCATTGTTGGCCTTTTAAATAAGACGTGTTGTTTCATAATGAAAATGACCTTTTTTTGGGTCATTAATGCTAAGAAAATTTACTTGTTCATTTTTGTATAGTTTTATTTCAAAATAAATATGTATACCTAAGAAATCTCAATACTAACAATGTCTCTAAAAGCAAGCAACTTCTCTACAATAATAATTATTGTATTTAATTAAAGTCTGTTGTAAAAATATATATAAATAAATAAATAAGTTAAAAATACACAAGCTTCATTAAAATTGTTGAATAAATTATTCAAATAATAAGGAACAAGGAATGTGTTTTACAATAATACTTTATAGATCAACTATTTAGCATCGCTTGCATCCACTAATCAATTATTGCAAGACAAATTTGTGCCTAGATGTAATCATTTTCAAGGATTATATACCAATTATGATAAAATCCTGTTGAACTACTATTGATTGATTGGTGAAATATATGGAGCCAAAAAATTGTCTAAATTATGATTTCAAATTTGTCTTGCCACCAACATCGATCGGTCTGTTACTCAATAAACAGAAACTTTGAGGTAAATCACTCACTTTCTTCCTAATTAGCACCAGCCAAGTCTTTCTAATCTAATTTGTACACTTTTTTCTTTCTTAACTACCTACTTTAAAATATTAAATCTAAAAAAATAAATTATTTGGAAGTTTATGCCTCAAACTTACACTAAATGTCCGTTTTTGTCTTGTCTTTCTTTGAAAAACCCCTTTCCCGTTTTACACTCCCTGATGGTGACAGTTTTCAAATTCACAGTAACATCCGTGATGAAAACTTGATCAGCCACTGGGTTTCTAGACAGCCAATATTCAGATCCTGGACTAGTCATTTCCGACAACTCCTGAGGTTGATTATTATTCAAGTTCAGAGTTAGTTTTGCTTCGTTTTTCTCAGATTCAACCTAAATTGCAAGTAAAAAAATAAATAATTTGCTATAGGCATTGGGCTCAAGACCAACCTCAATTTTTTCAGGTCTCTTTTCAGTTTCTGATGGTAAAGCTGCTTCCGTATTGGAACAATGTGCCAAGGCAACATCTTTATCTGTCACCTTTTCCTAAATTTAAACAAAAATACTATTTAGATGACTAGATGCACAGAAAAGCTCAAAAATTTCTCTCAAGAGATCATGTAGAAATTGCGAATTTGTCCACCATTTTTTTGGATTTACTAACCAACAGGTGAACCATCAAAAAGCTCAGTCTATAGGCAACGTTATGTAATAAATCCACAAAAATAACTTTAGAATTAGAATTTGAAGACCCAAGAAAACAAGGATCAATATTTTCAAACTGTGAGAAAAAAAAAGTAGAAATAATTTCAGGAAACCCCAATGACAAATTGCAGTTAAAGTAAAGTCCATTCCAAAATAATTCGTTGACTCTTCAAGTATCAATAAAATGTTGATGATACCCTCAACCACAAACTTCGACTACCTGTGAGCAGGTCCGGGTTGATTTTATTTATTATACCTGCCTAGGTGAGATGTACATGTAAATGTGGGTGAATGTTTTAGTTAAATTATTTAGTCTTTGTGCAGAACTAGAGCTGTTATATTGACAAAAAAAATGTGGCGTCCATGGGCAAATGATGGTAGTATTGCAACCGGAAGTGGTATTTCAAAAAAAAAACATTTATCGCTAGATGCCAAGGAAATTGTGAGGAACGTTTATTTAACCCTTCTGCAGAGAGGCTATAATCATAATCAAAGTGTGAGTGAATCATCCGTTTTAACCAAAACTCCATTATCTACGGTTAAAGATATCGTAGCGAAACGCATCCAGCCAAGGAAGCAACGGTGTGACAGCGGCAAGTCAAGAAAGGTTGAAGAAGCGGATAAAGAGTTGATTCGTAGGAAAATTTATGATTTGTACAGTAAACAAATAATACCTACAATAGATTCTCTAAAAAAGGTACTTATAGAAGACGAAACTGATATATTATGTAGCAGAACAAGCCTTTGGAGAATTGTGAAAGCAATGGGTTTCAAATATCAAACCATTAATAAGAGGCAAGTGCTAATGGAATCCCAGCGATTACAAGCATGGCGTCGAGAATATTTAAGTTCCATAAAACAATATAGGGCAGAAAATCGTCCGATAATATATCTTGACGAAACATGGTTTGATACCCATGACACTCCCAAAAGAGGATGGAGCGACTCAACCTCCAAATGTTAAACCAAAGCACCCTCAAATAAAGGCCAGAGGATTACAATTTTGCATGCCGGATCAGAAAATGGTTTTGTTCCAAACTCTTTGCTGCTATCCGCAAAAAAAATAGCCAATTCATCATTAGATTATCATCAAGATACCGATGCAAAATTATTTGAAGAATGGTTTCAGAATCGCCTTCTTCCGAACATACCAGAAAACAGTATAATTGTGATGGACAACGCTAGTTACCACAGCCGTCAAAAAAATAAAGTGCCCAATGCAAGTAATACAAAAGTAGAACTTCAAAAATATATGATGGAAAATGATATGTATTTCGAAGAAAATTATACAAAGAAAGATCTTTTAAACGTTTTGAAATCATATAATGTTAAAAAAGAATATATTTGTGACGATCTTGCTAGCGCTTGTGGTCATACAGTTTTGCGTCTTCCTCCATATTATTGTATTTTCAATCCAATAGAACATATCTGGCATGAATTGAAGGCAATGGTTAGGAGAGGAAACACCTCTCCTACACTTAGTACTGCTGTAATAGATTTAATTAGAAAATGTGTAGATAATATTCCAGTTCAAAGCTGGAAAAATTCTGTCAATCACGTTATAAAAGTTGAAGAAACCTATAATTCAATAGGTATTAATGTTAAGCCATTAATAATTAGTTTAGGCATAGATGAAGATGACAGTGACAGTGAAACGGAACTAAATATAGATTAGGTTTGGTTGAATTGTGTATTGTATTATATTGTATTAGATATTAAGTTTTGGTAATTATTAAGATAGTATAAGATTATAACATAAATAAATAATATTATGAAACGCCTTTTTCGTTTTCATTATAATGGGCACAAAATCCGTACCTGTAAACCTTTGAGTGGGTATTAAGGAACCCGGTACCTACATAAAAGAACCTGGTACCTACACAATAGAGGCTAATAGCTATCTAATTTATGGTAGGGTTTTATAGCCGTGAAGTCAACGAAATATTTTGGAATGGACTTTACTATGACTATCCTACAAAGTGACAAGGGGCTATAAATATCACTAAGAACACATGTTTTTTAGTCAGAAATAAATCTGGAAGAAAAAACTTATTCTTACCTCAGATTCATGTTTAACTTTAATTGGAGGTGGTGTGAGACTAGTAGGACTAGTGGTAATAGTCACTCCAATTTTACCACTTTCCATCGATAAAACCTCAGCTTTTCTTTTGGTCCCCAGTCTGGATAAAAGGGGCCGCCTGTCTTCGCTACTCGAGCTATTTGAATTATCGTTCTCGTTGCTGGATTGTACTGTGGCGCAATTATCGTCCAAACCCGTTCTGGTTTCTTCATCTTCTGTTGCTGTATTGATTGTGGCTTCTTTTTCATGCTTGTTTGTAGTGGGTTCTTCGTCTTCTTGAGTTTCATCGCCGCTTGCTTCGTTTTCCCTTTGACTCTCTCTCTTTTCGCGCTTTTTGGGGCCCTTTTTATTCGCAATTTCGGTTCTTTGTAAGTTTTCGAATTGTTCAATCAGCCTACTGTCTAGTATATTCTCTTCGGGTTCCCAAGTGTTATGTTTTTGACTCCAGCCTTTCCATTTGACAAAGTACTCCACAGTACCCTGAAATACTGGAGATGAAGATTCATTTTTTCTTGCTTTCATAAGTACTTTACCTTGCGATTTCGTTTTTTTATAATTCTTGCTGCAGCATAGACATGATCACCAAGTGCATCCATTGTGAGCTAAAGGAGATTGATAATGATTTTTTTTAGCATAAGTGAAGTTTTTAGAGTGTAAAAATTATAATCTTGTGTTCTATTGGTTCTATTACACCTACATTTAGTGTTTGAATAATGAATTTTTATTTTTACTCTTCTAAAAAACCAAGCTTCGGACCTTTTTTTTCCTTCTTCAGGGCTAGGGTGCAATGAAAATTAATATGTATGGTCTCGGTATGGTCTTTGTATATTTTCTAATATTCGAATGGACAATCTTTTCCTGATTTCGAAAATCCATCCGGTTTTGAAATAATGCATTTGAAAATCGATGTAATTGTTTTACCAAATAACAGTTACCCTGAACAAAATATTTGTCTACACCTCATTAATAAGTACTAATCATGTAAGTAATTCATATTATCTAAAAGTAACATTTTTCAAAATCGTTTCAAATTGACCTGTAGACAATTACATATTGAACTTAAGATTTCTAGCAAAAAAATAGCCACATCATTTCTCAATTTTTGTCTATTCCCGGCTCTTGAATTTTTGTTTCTTTCAATGTTATGCAAATAAAGGAATGATGCAAGAGATATTTCTATTTGTCACCAATTTTTCTTAAATTTACACCGTTTAGGGAACCTCACTTGACTTGCAAATTACTTTGAGGATGGTTCAAGGGGTTAAAACCGAGGGGTGGTTAACTCCTTAGAATATGTACACAGATTTCAAATCTTCTATGATTTTGTAGGATTTTGAAAATCTTCACATGATTTTACAGGATTTTAGAAGATTTTTGAAATCCCAGAAGATTTCCAAGATTTTAGGGGATTTTAGAGATTTTAAGAGATTTTTGGAGATTTTAACAGATTTTTGGAGATTTTAAAGGATTTTTGGAAATTTTGAAAGATCTTCTGTCGCTATTATAATATCTTGCTGGATTAGTCGGTTAATCTAAGCTAATAACAACATGCTTTTGTGATTTGATGATAAATAAACTTCAAAATAAACATAATACAGTGTATATTACAGCTTATAGCTTTGTTTACAGTAGAAGTAGTTTAAAACTAAAGATTTATAGTGGTTTTTCCTCCAGTGTAAAGTCTGTTTTTTTAAAGATAATAGTCAAAATGACATTATGTTGGCAATACAATGTAAAAATGTCAATACTTTCAAATTTTTTATGTAGAAAAGGCTCGTGTTGCCAACAAAGTTACAACTTTGATAGCATCGCTGCCGACTGTAATGAGCTGCGTCAAGATAGCCCCCCATAACCGAATTTCATAACTTTTTTGGTAGAATTCAATTGTGCTAGAATTGTGCTGAATTGTGCTGCCAATATTAGGAATTGTGCTGCCAATATTAGGAATTGTGCTATTTTGGTAACTGAGTTATTTACAAAAAAGTAGAGGGGGGCTAACTTGACGCTGAGCCCCCCCATTTTTTTTGAATTTCGAATTAAAAAAAAGTGTTCTCTTTGAGAATCCGAATTGTGCTGAATTGTGCTGCACATATTTTCTTTTCCCTCCTACTTTATTTCATCACCCCATTTTTTGTTTAAACATTATGGCAGGGCTAACTTGACGCTCAGCCACCCCATGTTTTTTTGAATTCTCAGAAGAAAAAAAAATGTTTCCTTGAGAATCAAAATTGTGCTGAATTGTGCTGCACATATTTTTCTTCCTACTTGTGTGAATCTTGTGGAAACACTGGAAACAAAAGTCACATTCAAAGCTACACTTAGACCAAATATCCCTTAAATTATAGCCGTGCAAATAGCCCCTGGTCTGTTATTATCAATGTCATTGGTGATTACATGTAGGAAAATTAGCTTCATTATAGACACACTCCTTCTCAGTTTCGTATATTAATTATAATTGTCCGTAACGTTAAGTTAAGTTGAGTGGATCAGTGGATATAAATGACCCTTTAACCTCGCCATAATGTTTAAACAAAAAATGGGATGATAGAATGAAGTATGAGGGAAAATATGTGTAGCACAATTCAACACAATTCCGATTCCCAAAGAAAACACCTTTTTTTTTAAGAATTTAAAAAACATGGGGTGGCTGAGCGTCAAGTTAGCCCTGCCATAATGTTTATACAAAAAATGGCGTGATGGAATGAAGTAGGAAGGAAAATATTTGCAGCTCAATTCATAGTTGGGGAGCTGGCGTCAAAAACATGCAAGAGTTTTCGCAAGGCGGATATTTTCAAAATAGGTCGTACTTTAGTGCTAGAATGCTAGTGTACAGTCAGCAGTCACAGTTCCGGGACAGCTGGCTCTGGGACGCGGGCAAAGTTGTAATTTTAAGAAGCATCTAAACTGTTTTCACAAAGCTCAAAATTTATAGAAATTTTGCACATTATCTGTTTGAAGGTCACAGATAACGTATGTAAATCGTCAGACTTCTAGTTCGTTGCAAAAAGGGGGTCAGACGTCCTCAAAGTTCTTATTTTATGGCATTTTCTTCAAATATATTTGTCAAATACCTGCAAAAATATATTTTGACAGGACACCGAAGAAAATGCCATAAAATAAGAACTTTGAGGACGTCTGACCCCCTTTTTGCAACGAACTAGACGTCTGACGATTTACATACGTTATCTGTGACCTTCAAACAGATAATGTGCAAAATTTCTATAAATTTTGAGCTTTGAGAAAACAGTTTAGATGCTTCTTAAAATTACAACTTTGCCCGCGTCCCAGAGCCAGCTGTCCCGGAACTGTGAGTGCTGACTGTACACTAGCATTCTAGCACTAAAGTACGACCTATTTTGAAAATATCCGCCTTGCGAAAACTCTTGCATGTTTTTGGCGCCACCTCCTGGACTATCAGCACAATTCCGATTCTTGAGGAAAACACTTTTTTTTATTTCGGAATTCAAAAAAATGGGGAGGCTGAGCGTCAAGTTAGCCTCCTCTACTTTTCTGTAAATAACTCAGTTACCAAAATAGCACAACTCCTATTATTGGCAGCACAATTCTGCTCAATTCTAACACAATTGATTTCTACCAAAAAAGTTATTAAATTCGGTTATGGGGGGCTAACTTGAGGCAGCTACTGTAATGGCTGCCTAATTTGGCGGTTCGTTCATAAATTATTCCATAATCACTAGAATATTTTTTAGGAATTTCAATGATTTTTTAAGATTTCGCGAGATTTTTTTAGATTCAATAAAATTTTGTGGGATTTTGTAGGATTTTATGGGATTTTGAGAAATTTTAAGGGATTTTGTTAAATTTTTAAGGATTTTGAAGATTTTTAGGGATTTTAAGGAGATTTTACAAGATTTTTTGGGATTTTGACCAACGAATATATTGATAAGTAAATAATTTAATAATACTTATACAAATAAGTTTTTATATTAATTTTAAGTAAAAAATAATTATTTCTGGGACAAACTGGACACGGATTTTGATGAGTTAACCGCCCCTCGGTTAAAACTAATAATTGTGATTCATCGAAAAAAGGGTTTTTGTGAAAATATGGACATTTCCACCCTAGTCTTGCATACAAATGGTAGGTACTGGAAGTAATAGGCAGTACCAATATACAACAACAGTTTACTCACCAAGTTCATCGTTCAGTCTTCCTAAAACAGAAAATTGTTATCCAAACAACAATATCACTTGGCACTCATTTACTAAGGAGGCCATTTTTGGGGGAATAGCGAGCCTCTCTGAAAGAGTCACGGTAGGGCCTGATGGAGTTCCAGAGTTGCTATTGAAGAGGTGTGTTTGCACATTAACCACGCCTATTACTATACTGTTCAATCTCTCTCTTAATAGTTCAGAATATCCAGATGTATGGAAAAATAGCTACTTGTTCCCAATTTTTAAAAGTGGCGATAAGCAAAACATTAAAAATTATAGAAGTATTTGTACCCAATCTGTGATTCCAAAATTGCTAGACGAATTGATATGCAAACAATTGACATGGGCCTGCCGGGGGCTGTTAGATGAGGCTCAGCACGGATTTACCAAAGGCAGATCCACTACCACAAACTTGGTTTCATACCAGTCATCACTGCTGAGGGCCTTGGAAGACAAAAAACAAGTTGATGCTATATATACTGACTTTTCTAAGGCCTTCGACAGTGTTGATCATGGTTTATTGTTTGATAAGTTATATAAATTTGGTTTTCACCTGGATATAGTAAAGTGGTTCCAGAGTTCCTTCACTGGTCGAGTTCAAAAAGTAAAAATAGGTTCATTCCTATCTGAGAATATTATGGCAACATCTGGGGTGCCCCAGGGGGGACACTGCTCGCCATTACTTTTTAACATATTCGTCAATGATATCATAAAAAACTTTTTCCATAGTGTACCTGCAGCATTTGCTGATGACTTTAAAATTTTTCGAGTCATTAACAGTATGTATGACGCAAATTTATTACAGGAAGACTTGAATCTTGTTGTTGCTTGGTGTGACATCAATAAATTGAAGCTCAATGTTGATAAGTGTTTTACAATTAGTTTTTTCAGATTCAATAAAAAGGTAAATTCACTTTATTATATTAAAGACAGGCAAATCAGTTATACATCCAAAGTAAAAGATCTTGGTGTAATTTTTGATCAAGAGCTAAAATTGTAGACCATATAAATAATTTGATAGTACAGTCCTCCAAGTTGTTAGGTTTTGTCATCAGGAATTTATCGGTGTCCTCTGCCAAGTGTGTGTATTCTAGTTTAGTAAGGTCAAAGTTAGAGTATAACTGTATAGTGTGGTCACCTTATCACCAAATTTATAAGGTTTCAATTGAGAGAGTTCAGAGCAGGTTTTTGCGTTTTTGTGCTTTTCGCATGGGGGTTCAAATTTTTGATCATGAATATGACTACATACGCAATATGCTAAATTTGGACTCTTTTGAGCTTCGAAGGTTGAAAATTGGAATGCGCTTCATTTTTGATCTTCTAAATTTTAATATAGACTGTCCTCAGCTTCTAGAGCAAATAAAGTTTCACATTCCAAATAGAAACCTCAGACATAACAATTTATTTTTTGTTGATTATCACAGAACTGTCTGAACTCTCCCATGTGCAGGTATATTTCTTTGATTAATCAGCACAACTTGGAAGTTACAGGGATATCTAAAAGTAGATTTATTAGTCTAATTAATAAATGTGATCTATTATAGGGTGAAAAAAATATATTAATCTACGTCGGTGTCATTATGACACATTTAGCATTGTCATTTGAATGTCATTAGGTCCTTCATAATAGCACTAGTGCGTTTAAGAATTCATAATAACACCCAAATTTTGAAATGAAAAATATACAAAAAGAAAGTTAGTTGCCAGAAGAACCTTTTCAATAATGCTGTCTCTATATTGGAAGAGACACTTTCGAACTCAGAATCACCAATAATAATATTATTTTCCACTATAAAATTGAATTTATGGCACAAAAATGGACTCCAATATTGAAGCTGCCAAAGTCAAAATTCTAAAAACCAACAAGCAGGTTCTCGACTAGTACGGGCACCTGCTAAATTTCAAATTTTAATTTGAAAAGTTTTTGCTATTTCAAGGCAAATCAAATCTATTTGGACCATTGTAGATTAAATTTTGAATGATACACGTTCGATATGAACTTTATTAATGAAACTTGTGTAACTAAACCACTTGGCCAACGCCTCGTGGTTTAACGTTACACGCGTTTCATTATGGCGTTCATATCGAACTTGTATCATTAATAACTATTATATTCTTTTTCTAGGGATTTCTGTTGTTGTTGTAATTTTGCTAATTTAGTTACATTGGTTGTTAGTACTAATACTATTGCTGGCTAACCTTAAGAATATTGTTAAATTTTGTAAAACTATTACATTAATGGGGTAATCCCGTCAATAAATAAATAAATAAACGTTTAGGGAACCTCTCTTGACTTGCAAATTAATTTGGGGGTGGTTTAAAGGGGTAAATTAATTATTGCGATCCATGAAAAAAAGGGTTTTTATGAAAATATGAGCATTTATTCACCCTAGTTTCGGGCACAAATGGTACTGGAAGTTATAGGCAGTACCAATATACACTGTTTAGGGAACCTCACTTGACTTGCAAATTACTTTGGGGATGGTTTAAGAGAAGAAAACTAATAATTGAGATTCATCGAAAAAAGTGATTTGTGAAAATATGGACATTTCCACCCTAGTCTCGGGTACAAATGGTACTGGAAGTTATAGAGAGTACCAAAGATACACTGTTTAGGGTACCTAAAAAGACTTGCAAATAACTTTGAGGGTGGTTTAAGGGGGTAAAACTAATAATTGCGATTCATCGAAAAAAGAGTTTTTGTGAAAATCTGGACATTTTCACCATAGTCTCAAGTTGGAAGTCTAGAAGTTATAGGCAGTACCAAGATGCACCGTTTAGGGTACCTAAAAAGAAGTACAAATAACTTTGGGGGTGGTATTATATTATCTATGTTACCAGGTTTCCCACTGAAATAAAAATATTATAAAACTCATCTCATATTGTAATAAATGTACCTTTGATATTGGCAGGAAAGTAATAGATAAAGAGAGAATGCACATGTTGTGTTAAGCAGAAGAACCCGGTATTTTTGTTCTGGTACTAACCCTGTATAAATAGGTTTATTTTCTACAAAAGCTTCCAAGGTAATTTTCCTAAATGGTGCAACTTTGCATTTGCAGTTTGCAAATAAGTGCGGTAAAGTGCACTTACCGCACACTCGTAGGTAAAAATTCAAACATAACTACTTCATCTGAATAATTTTAAGCAATAGAAGGTAAACAAAAAGAACTTTTCACAAAAATATTTGTCTTTAAATCAAATGGTAATGCTTACATTGTTACAGGCCGAATCAGGATTTTAACAAGGCTTTATTTATTGATTTTAAGCAACATTAATTAAATGTTTATTTATATTTACAAAAATCACAACAAACAACAACAAAGAACTTCTTCTTCTTCTTCTTCTTAACTGAATATTGGCTCTGCTCCACAAGGGGCAATTTGCCAGCACATTTGTTGGTATCCAGAGAGCTGTCTGGCTCTAAGCCATGCTCCGGACGCTGTACTTTCAAGGTCTTCGAGATTTTACTGCTGTTATCTTTATCTGGTTTATGGAATTTATTTTCTTTCCTCCTGTGAGTTGAGGTTGTAAACACATAAAAGGATGACACAACACAGGTGGGGAGGATGTTTTTTTTTTTTTTTTTTTTTTTTTTTCTAAAAAGGAAATTTTTTTGGGATTTTTTTCATTTTTTTTTTTTTTTTTTTTTTTTTTTTTTTTTTTTTTTTTTTTTTTTTTTTTTTTTTTTTTTTTTTTTTAAGAATATTCTTTTGTTCATGATATTGAGTGATTGTGGATGAGTGTGTTGCTGTTTCAATGTTTTTGGATCGTTCAAAATTTTTGGAAGTGCTTACAAGTTTATTTTATTGTAATTGAGAAAGGAGACCAGACTTTTAATTGTGTTAGTGTTTAAATTTCTTAGTGCAGTAATCATTGAAAGAGGTGCCGGATGTCCGAACTCCATGATTTGCCAATACATGTCCACGTTTACTATTTTATTAATTGGGCATTCAAAGAAAATGTGATTTAAATCTTCGATCTGGCCGCATTCGCAATTTGGGGAGTCTTTTTTGCCTATTCTGTGCAGGTATTGGTTGGAAAGGAAGTGTCCGGTTCTCATTCTAGTTATTACAGTAATGTGTCGTCGATCTATGTAAGGGAATTTTTTAAACCATGTTGACCTAGGAAAGCTGTCCTGTACAAGGGCGTACCACTTGCCTTTTTGTTTGAGGGTGCTTTTCCAAGCCAACTCGTGCTCCTTCAAAATTTTTCCTTTGACAACAAAGAACATTTTGACAGTTTAATTAGACGCTCGGAGCTGCTGTATTGTTTTTTTCTCCCTGTTCCTCTCATGAAAAAGAAAAAAGATGAAACATGCTCTGAGCGCTCGTTGCTTAAAAACCACTAACGTAGGACTGACAGTTGACCCTGTCGACATCTATTGGTAAAATTTGGAAATACAAACGACAACTTTTGGCACCCATTTAAAATGGATTTAAATAAATAAACATTTTGTCTGTTTACTTTATTTTATATTATTCAATTTTCTCTTTGATGCATGCTTGCACAGAAAAAAATTGCTCCAATGGAAGAAAACTCTAACAAAAATTGAATTTTTACCGGGAAACATGAGAATATCGATAAAGTGTCCCTCATTGGTCGAGCCTCCTATTTTTACCTGGAGAAAATACGAGCCCATCAAAGACAAACGTACATCAGCTGGTATCCGGAATTAGCGCAGGAACCACTGTCAATGACAGCTGGTCGTACGTCGTAGCTCGATTTCTAATCAAAAACTAGACACATCCCGTCATTACTGGGGCTCTTTGGTGTATCACATTGTTCAAAAATTGAACAAAAACAAGGAAAAATGTGTAATTTAGTGATTTATCTGTGATATTAGTGAATAAAACTCGAACAGTTTGTCTGAGGGCCACACCTCGATTCGGGAACTGGACTAAAAATCCGCTAGAAGGTCAAAATTTTCTATGATACCATAGGCTATGCTATAGCTAAATGGTAATATGGCCGCCTGAAAGAAGAACAATAATAATAATAATTTAATTTTATGCCTTTCGTCGCTTAAAACTTACCAATTTTCGTTCGAGACATGGAACTCCGGGTGGGCAACAAGTACAGGCTGGGGCGGAAAATCGGCTCTGGCTCTTTCGGGGACATTTACTTGGGTGAGTTGCATTTTTTTTTTCTTGGAAAATTGTAAACAAAGAGTCAACTTTTTTCTCTCTGGGGTGCAGGAACGAATATATCCACTGGCGAGGAAGTGGCCATCAAACTGGAATGTATCAAAACCAGACATCCCCAGTTGCATATCGAGAGCAAGTTTTATAGAATGATGCAGGGAGGAGGTAAGAATCTAGATAATTATCTATAGGACTAATTCAAAATGATGATAGTTATCTCAAGGACAAAATCATAGATTAGTGATGTTGGATTCATAGATTTCATCACTTATTTAGAACATTATTTATGTAGCCTGTGCATTGGAAGTTTCCAAATTGCAGGTGGATTAGTAGAGATAGCATCTAATCTAATCTAATACACAGGCTACATAAATCACCCTGTATACATCCTACTATTTCTTGGCAATTGATACAGTTTCCAAGACTGCCATGAGTTACTGAGTGAGTTACAGTATTAATGGATTTCCATAGAAGTCTCAATTAATATTGAAAGTTGCTTCACAAATTGCTGCGCCAGATATTGTGAAAAATTTCAGATATCTGGTATAATTGAACATATTTTGTTGTTGGTTAGTCAAAACATATTTAAGTGTACAAAAGATATCCACAGATTAGGTACCAGGGATCCAACCAAGATTTTTTCAAATTTCCTTAAATCTCCCAAAATTTTGCTGGATCTCCCTTATTTTTCAGGGATTTTATAGAATACCAGCTTTGCACAGCCAGAACGCAACACCCTAGGTCTTCTCCCGAGTCTTCTCCTTAACATAACATGTGCATTTTCTCTTGATCCATTACTTTTTTGGCAATAATAAAGCTACATTTGTTACAATGAGGTATAATATTTTCCTCGATATTTTCATTTACTTAAGTGGGAAACCTGGTAACAAGATTTTCCATAGATTTCCCCAGATATTGCTCACAACTCCCATATATCTCCTCAGATTTCCCTAAATTTCCCTAGATTTTCCTGAATCTCTCTCAGGGTTGGCATACACAAAAACCTATTTTGGATTGACAAATATCAATCGAAAATCTAGGGTAATTCCAAATAATAAATTATATAAAGAATTTTAGAGGGCACCAACAATAAGCTAGATTAATAAAATAATTTTTCTATTCCAGGCTCTTGAATTTATTTTAAATGTTCATAATTCAGTAGTCTGAAACTCTGAAATAGACAACATTTGGAGTAAAAAATCAAAGTAGTAAAGAGAAAAAAACATCTCCACTACACCAACATTCTTGCTCTGAATCTGAGAAATTCAAAATTTGGTTTCAAAAGTTATGAGTCATTGAAGCTCCCTCTCAAATATTTCTCTAAATCCGAGGTTCTAAAAAATATGAGCAAATCATAGAATGTGATAGTTGAAATGCTCAAAATCTGAGCTATATTTTAGTAATAATTTTGACAAAATGAAAATAGCTGTAAATATGATGAGCCTAGAAAATCTAAAACTTTTCCTTGAAAATTTCAATTCTAGAATCTTCAAAATCTTGTTCATTTGAAATACACATGACTTTGCTTTGAATCTGAGATATCTGGAAATACATATGAGCAAATGACAGAATCTGAAAATGAATTCAAAGAAAATTAGGATTAATAGAAATAAATAAATGGGAAATTTTATAGGGTAAAAACAATAAGCTAAATTATTATTAGTAATTTTCCTATTCCAGGCTCTTGAATTTGTTTCGAATGATCATTATTTATTGGTCTCAAATAGACAACAATTGGAATGAAAAATGAGAGTTGTAAAGAGAAAAAAAAACTACTCCACTACGCCAACATTTTTGCTCTGAACCTGAGAAATTCAAAACTTGGGTTCAAGATTTATGAGCCAATGAAGCTTCTTCTTAAATTTCTCTATGGATGTGAGGCTCAGAAAAAATATGAGCAAATCATAGAATCTGATAGTTAAAGTGCTCAATAACCGAATCAAAAACTCTGTCTTTGTCATTTGAGCTAAATTTGACAAAACCGGAAAAAAAAATCCTCGAAAAAATCCTAATTGTGCTTCTGGGCTTAGGACCACTTCTGATCTATTTTCCCTGTTAAAAAAGTCTCTATTTCATGAATCCTATAAGTTTAAAATTGCTGTGATAACTGGAGATATTTTTCAAGGAATATTTTGGGAATTTTTAAGGTTTTTTCAAGCATCAAGTTGAAACAAAAATTCCTAACTTTGCTTGCCTCTGGGCTCCCGATCCACTTCTGACGTTTTCTCCCTTATAAAAGAGTCTCTATCTTACAAATCCTGTAAGTTTCCAATCGCTGTGATGACTGGATATATTATTCAAAGATTATTTTGAAAATTTTTAAGGTTTTTCCAAGCATCAAGTTGGAATAAAATTCCTAACTTTCCTTCTGGGCCCAAGATCCACTTCTGATGTTTTTTTTTCTTTTTAAAGGAGTCTTTATTTAATAAATCCTCTAAGTTTCCAATCGCTGTAATAACTGAAAATATTTTATTGAAAGAATTTCATACATCTGTCAAAACTGGTATTCCAACAATAAATTGACAGGTTTTGATTGTTGATTTGAACCAATCAGATTTCAATTACGCGATAATTTGCACTAGTGCAAATTATCAGATAATTGCTTACTAACTGGTGCGAAAACTGGTGTTTTGACATTTTTGGACAAAAAATTTAAATTTTTGATTTATGAAATTCTCTCATTAAATACAACTCGTGCAATGGAAATATATTTATAATTTTCGACAAATTTGCACTCATGCGTTTTTAACTGAAAAAGGCACTCAAAAATTATCAATAATTTCCATTGCACTAGTTATATTACTATTGATTATTTTGGGAATTTTTAAGCGAGTTTTTAAGTTTTTCTCAATCATCAAGTTGAAAGAACATTCCTAACTTTGCTTTTGGGCTCAAGATCCAATTCTTATGTATCTTCCCTTATGAAAGAGTCTTTATTTTATAAATCCTGTAAGTTTCAAATCGCTGTGATGACTGGAAATATTTTTCAAGGATTATAATGGGAATTTTCAAGGTTTTTTCAAGCATCAAGTTGGGAGAAAATTCCTAACTTTGCCTCTGGGCTCAATATCCACTTCTGATGTATCTTCCCTTATGAAAGAGTTTCTATTTTACAAATCCTGCAAGTTTCAAATCGCTGTCAAGACTGGAAATATTTTTCAAAGATTGTTTTGAGAATTTTTAAAGTTTTTTCAAGAATCAAGTTGGAAGAAAACTCCTAATTTTGCTTCTGGGCTCACTATCCACTTCTGATGTATCTTCCCTTTAAAAAGAGTTTCTATTTTACAAATCCAGTAAGTTTCAAATCGCTGTCAAGACTGGAACTATTATTCAAAGATTATTTGGAGAATTTTCAAGGTTATTTCAAGCATTAAGTTGGAAGAAAACTCCTAATTTTGCTTCTGGGCTCAATATCCACTTCTGATGTATCTTCCCTTATGAAAGAGTCTCTATTTTACAAATCCTGTAAGTTTCAAATCGCTGTCAAGACTGGAAATATTTTTCAAAGATAATTTTGGGAATTTTTAAGTTTTTCTCAAGCATCAAGTTGAAAGAAGATTCCTAACTTCGCCTCTGGGCTTATTCGCTTTTCCCTTATAAAAGAGTATCTACTTTATATATCCTGTAAGTTTCAAATCGCTGTGATGACTGGATATATTTTTCAAAGATTCTTTTGGTAATTTTTGAGGTTTTTTCAAGCATCAAGTTGAACGAAAATTCCTAACTATGCTTCTGAGCTCAAGATCCACTTCTGATGTATTTTCCCTTACTGTTTTATAAATCCTGTAAGTTTCAAATTGCTGTAATAACTGGAAATATTTTCCTGAGATTATTTTGAGTTTTTTTCAAGCATCAGGTTGGAACAAAATTTCTAACGTTGTTTATGGGGCTCAAGAACCAAGTATTGTAATGAAACTGAATAGTATTTTTCACAGCCAAATACAAAAATTCGAGCAAACATTCTAGCTGATGTCTCATTGAACATCAAAAACCCCCTTTGTAATGTCTGTTAACAGGCTTTCTCTTCTTCAGAAGAAATTGTATTATACTGGATATTGTATAATGGTATAATTATTTGGAAGCTGGATGAAACTTTGGAAACGTAACCTTTTTGCTTTTTCTTACAAAAAATTGTTTGTTGTATTTTTCTTAGAGCGTTTACCTTCACAAGCAATTTTCCTTTGTTTCTATTTTGCGTCATAAAATAAACACACAGGGTTAATTTTCAGTCTAACATATTTTTCACTTGATTGAGAAGTATCCACTTATCATCAAGCTTATCATAGTTTTTGAGGTTTAGAATTTTAAAATTATCATAAGTGAGTAAATGCATCAAAATTGAACAGTATCTTTATCACTTATTGATTTTATTAGCCATATTCTGTGAGTCAAGAGTTAAGGTATATTATTATTTTCTTTGTTACCAGTGATCTTTCACTTTTTAAAGAAATACTTTATTGTTATTATTGGCTTTTATTCTATCCTTTTTTGTTTTATTTATTACAAATTGTCAATAAAGTATATTGATCAAAAAACAGGAAGATCCTGATTGCAATACATAGTATAGCTAATTTAATAAAAACAAAGTAAAATTACCTGCAAATAAACTACTTTTTAATTAGCAAAGTGGTAATAGTCTTTTAATTCTTTTATATTTTTCAAAAATTTAGTTGTTATATTTCAGTTGGAATTCCTCAAATGAAATGGTGTGGCTCAGAGGGTGACTACAACGTAATGGTAATGGAACTGTTGGGTCCCTCACTGGAAGACTTATTCAATTTTTGCTCTCGTCGTTTCTCGCTCAAGACAGTCCTATTACTCGCCGATCAATTGATATCCCGTACTGATTTTATTCATTCAAGAAATTTTATTCATAGGTAATTTTGGTGTTTGATTGAAAACAAATAGAAACTTGAATGTGTATTTTTTCAGAGACATTAAGCCTGACAATTTCCTGATGGGCCTAGGGAAAAAGGGCAATCTAGTTTACATTATAGATTTCGGTTTAGCGAAAAAATATAGGGACGGGCGGACCCACCAGCACATACCCTATAAAGAAAATAAAAATCTTACAGGTAATGGCTAGTTTTTAAGGATTTGTGCAACAACCTGTATTTATAATCGACAGTCCAAGGTCACTGTCAGCGTTGCCTGTTTCCTTTTATGATACATGAAACAGTTTTTTTTTTTACGTAACACCCTTTTGAATTATGTATTTATTTTATTATTAATTAACTATTGCGGCACACTGTGTTCTTGAAATGTACTAATCTCTCTCAACAACAACAACGGAGGAGGAGGAAAAGAGAGAGATATCTCTCTCAACAACAACAACGGAGGAGGAGGAAAAGAGAGAGATATACAAAAATGTTAACAATAATTTTTTGATAAGCTCTAGCTTGACACAAAACAACTTGTTAAAAAAATGTACATCTTGAATAATTTGTCTCATATTATCGAGGGGTGGACCACTAGTGGAAATCCTTGTACATTTTTCTGGGAATCATATAATAATCAATCGGGAATACATGGAAATCATTTGGAAATAACCTGAATCGCCTAGGACTCCATGGGAATCACAAAGGAATCCATTGGCAATCGCTGAGAATTATGTGGTAATCTCTGGGAATATCATCTCATTCTAACCCAGAAATCGCATTTCATACATATGATACAGCGTACCGGTCAGTTGCGTATTTGCCTTTAAGACTGAGTTTTAGGCTACATTGAGTACTAGACAATTTGAAATGAATTTGATATCCCAACGAGTTTCCCAATGACTGAACCCGAGACTACGAAGATTCTAGAACTTGAAGAACAAGATGAAGATTAGGTCTGTTCTCACTGAAATCACAAAGCAGTCGGAGCGTTTTTGATTGGTGCAAATCCCCTACAACCAGTTTTCTGAGTATTTTCAACCAATAAAATTCGCCCTGACTGGTTTGTGATTTCTATGAGAGCAGATCTGAAGTATGACAATGTTGTAGATCATAAAAATGGAAACATGAATCTTGAAACCTCTTTCGAATTCGACTTGCCAAAAAAAGACACAGAATTTTTAATTTGGTTCTTTTCAGAGAAGGAGGGACATTTTTCGATCGAGTATTAAGAGTTATGGGAATGTCCCTGAGAGAGACTCAAAGGAAAAAGTTGAGAATTCAAGGCAATAAGAACATGAAAATAGAATAAATACTAGGCAAGGCGAGTAGCAGAGGCGATAGCACATCTAAATCAGAATCAGAAATAAGTTTGTCGGATGAAACCCTAACTAAAGTTGTCTCTGATTCAGATGAAAATCCTAATGAAATCAAAGAAACATCCATTATTTTAGATCCATATTATGCAGTGTAGACACGTGATGGTATCTGGGGCTAAGCAACTATTTATCCTACAAAAAATCGGTGTGGGTGTGGACAACCATGAAAATAAATGTTGCTAACTTTTGGAACAGTTTCAAATACAGAAGTTGCCAATTTTTCAGCGGTAGCGAGAAAATACTGTTTATTTTAGACATATCAATGCGAAGCCTAATAATTAGACATCGTTTTTGTAATAAAATCAGCTGGAAATCAGATGATTATAGGAAATCATTGAGGAAATCGGTAATCAATTGGGTATCCCCAGAAAAAATGGAAACCATCTGGTAATCATACAAAAATATCTGAAAATCATTGGCAATCAGTCGCAATTCTTGGGATGGGAATACATTAGATTCATTGATCGCCAAATTTGGAAATCATTGTACATTTGTAAGCATAGTGGTTGACCCCTTGGATATTATCATTTTTGATAGAAAATTCACTTTTTCCTAATGTTGTGTCTTGTAAACCTAGCCTATGCTTTTTTGTAGTTTAAAGAGGTTTTTGTATAGAAGCTTTTTGTGAGACTTTGACACTAAAAATATATTCCAATAGGTCTGACTTGAAATACTCTGTTTCAAAATTAACTGTTTAGTATCTCTCAGATTGGGTATCAAATATCAGTTTAGAATATCTTCATGTTCAGCAAAAATTTTTCAAATCGTCAGAATCCTTATGGATTTTTACTGAACATCTATGAATAATTTCAGGCACTGCAAGATACGCTAGTATAAACACCCATTTAGGCATAGAACAGTCTAGAAGAGACGATCTCGAATCCTTAGGCTACGTCTTAATGTATTTCAATAGAGGCTCGCTGCCTTGGCAAGGTCTCAAAGCGGCCACCAAGAGGCAAAAATACGAAAGAATTTCCGAAAAGAAAATCTCCACGCCCATTGAGGAATTGTGCAAAGGCTATCCCGCCGAATTTCCCACTTATCTGACTTACTGTAAACAACTGAGGTTTGAAGAAAGACCAGATTATAGTTATTTGAGGCAATTGTTTAGGACGCTGTTCCATAGGCAAGGTTTTACGTATGATTACGTATTTGATTGGAATATGCTTAAGTTTGGTAAGTAATGCCACATTTTCATCTATAAAATTGAAATTATTTTGGCATTAGGTGGATCTCGAGGTGCTCATTGTGGCGAAGAAAACACAGGAAGATCAGGAGGCAGATACGCACCTCAAGGAGCCACAGGGGGCGCCACTGCAGGTGATACAGTTGGTGCTGCTGCCACTCAGCAGAGAGGTAGAAGAACGCACGATAATCCTGCCCCAATTATCTTAGATGATGTGGTTACTAGTAATTCGCCTAGAATGTATGACAGCCACGAAAGAAGAGTGTCAATGAGGCTCAGACAAGGAGCTCCTAATGCATCTACTTCCGATCTGAGTACATCAAAACAGGCCAAGTGAGTTTTTGTGAAAACTTATATATGTATTATTATTTTTTATAATTATATTGTTGCTATATATTTTATAATCATTGGCATTATTTTGTTTTTAAAAAAAAATCTAACATCTACCAATCATTGTGTTTTTTAAAATTCAGTGCTTCCGGAGTAGCGATGGCACCACCATCGTCTGTGCCAGGCGTACAAACGCAACAAGCTCCCAGAAGGGGCAGTTCGAGCAAAGATCCACCCGGCGGACGTCTGAAGAAATGAGATTGGCTACTAGATAGGGTCTGAATCTGACAAGGTTTTAATTGTTTCAGTCGGATTTGTTTCTTGGCGACAAATTAGGCTATCATCAGGACAGCAAGTGCATAATAAGTTAATAGGTTAAATTTTAAGTGCGCGAATTACTTTTAGTCTAATATTACCAATGCGTGGAAGCTATTGGTGGTTTATTAAAACGCTGTGGCGTGAGTAAACTTGCATAGTATTCCACGCCACTCATAAGATGTGATGTAATCCTTAAATATCTTTTTTTTTAGCAGTGGTGTTACACATTGTGGTAGGTAGGATAAGTTGTTGAGTTTAAATAGGAAGCAGTGACCATTCACAAAACTTGATGGACGTTTTCTCAATAATGTTTGCTCAGATTTGAGACCAACTAGGTGTAGGATGTAGACAATTTGATTGCCATTTTATTTGGATTGACTACAAGTTTCTCCTTCTTGCACTAATATTTGAGATAATAATGTATGTCAAATTTCTAGCAATTTTGTAAATAGACACTGCTTCATTGCTGTTTGTGATTGATTGGGTTTATGAAAAAGTTACCTCTATTTATTGCATTTTTCATAGAGTCGCTGTTACATGTTACTGAACAAAAATGAGAATTGATCCTCGATGAATTTTTCAACAGGATTTGATAATTCTTGACTTTTTACTTGTTAATTTTTTTTTTAGCTTAGGTAACAAATACCTGTTGTATATTTGAAAACAAAAATTTATTATTGTGCAATGATTAATATGTGTATCACCACTGTTGCCAATTTATTTTAAATAAACTTTAATTAGCATAATAAGTGATAACGCAACGACGATTTTACTAAAAACTAATAGACCATACACAAGACTGTATGGTATGAAATGAGACCAGGGTTGGATTTTTCAGTCCTGTCCTGGATATTGATGTAGATTCCAAAAAAAAAAAACAAAACACACGTGCGACCTTATTTAGCAGCCCAAGACTATAAATTATTAATCAGTGGAAGAAAAAAAAAATACAATTGTACATATCTAGACTGATTTTGTGTATTTTGTGTATAGATCGTAATTAATAATAATATTTTAGTTTTGTGAAGAAATAAAATTTTTATAAAAATATTAATGAAAACTATGTAAGGTAGCTCTGAATGTGTACCAAATGGTTATTTTTATAATTTGTTTTCACTTGGGTGGATGGGGGCACTTTGGACTGCATGGATAGAAAATACATACTTACTTGGTTCTATTGGTAATTTGTGTGGAAAATGCTTTTGTGAGCGCGTGTGATGAATCTGCTATAATATGCGTTTATATTTACCAATAGAACTATGTGAAATTATTTTTTTTTTAGAATTTATTACATGCTACACTCAGTTCCATGATCCTTATTTTTGCTACAGCTTTTCAACAAATAATAAATAACTTATTTTGAGTTGACAAAGGATGAAATAGGCTACAAACATAAATATGTCGATTTGTTTAGAAATGTAGCAAAGTTATAGCAAAAATTGGTTGTTTATGGATGGCAATCATAATAGTTCCTAATCTGTGCTTGAAATAGATATACAGAAATCTTCAAAGATCAATACCTACATAAATCAGAATTGATTTTTCTTCCTATTTAATTAGATATTATTCCTAATCCATACAGTTCCAAGTGCCCGCTCTCGATGTCTTTGATCACATTAAGTATGTAAAATTTAATATTTAACTATAATTCGGTAAATTATTATTATATTTTCTTTTGTAGCAAGCAAAACAAACAAAAAAATGTTAAAAGGGACAAGATAAAAAAAAATAAAAAGTGTTCAACTGGTTTATTGTTGTTTTTAACCTTTATTTATTAAATTAATGGCCAGTTTCTTAATAGCAATTTATCCCCGGGTTAAGCATAACTCCAGGGTCCTTATTCTTGAAACAGGGGAGCAGTGTTCCCAGGAGAACGAGTTTTCCGTCTTTCTCAATAATATGCAAATGATAATATAAGTAATAAAGACGGAACACTCGTTCTCCTGGGAACGTTGCTCCCCAGTCTCAAAAATAAGGACTCCGGGTAAACATTGCAACTGGACACATTTACCCTGGAGTTAAAACCAACCCGGAGGTGACTAGCTATTGAGAAACCGACCCTTACTAAAATTTAGCGTACTTGATGAAACAAATTTACACGTTTTGAATTGCCGAATTCTTGAATAATCTTCAAGAGAAGTGTTTTTTTTTTCTATTATCAACCATTCACCCACGTCACCATTTAAACAACAAATGGATGTATATAAACGCTAGAATTTGGATATAAATTGATTTAAATTATCATGAAACGCTACTTTGGTATATTGGGTTTGTTTTTGGCTCAAAGCTTGATGGTAAATGGTTTGACTTATAGCATCAATCCAAATGAGGAACCCTTATCAGTTGTTAGTGATTATTTTTTGAGCGTCGCTTTGGATACTACCAATATTTCTACCATTGACATAAAGTAAGTAAAAACTTTAACTAAATTTCCTATAATAACATGAAATATTTCAGAAACCCTCAACTAACAAAATTAGTCAAACATTTGTCGCCTATGTACTTTAGACTTGGTGGTACCCAAGCTGACATACAACTATTTGAAGATGATTCTAAAGATAACACTAAGCTAGGAGACGGAAATCCAGTTTTAAAAGGTAATAAATTGCTTTGCTTCAAGCAGAGTACAAAATAATCAGTTTTATAGCATCCTATTGGTCAACACTGTACGATTTTTCAAAAAATGCCAACGTACGGATACTGTTCGATTTAAATTCATTGCTGAGAAATGACGATGGATCGTGGAATTTCGAAAATGCTGAGGAAATGATCAAGTTTTCACACGAAAATGCCTTCGAATTGGACTGGGAACTAGGAAATGGTAATTTATAGAAAGGGTACTTCAAATTCGAGTACATATGCACGAGAGATATTATCTGAAATATTAAATTGCGCAATTGTATGACTAATTGTACATATGCTGGAATTATTTTTGTCTAATCATATTCTACTTGGAATTTGGAAAATCGTATGTCTGATGCTTCATGAAAACATTTTTTTTTTCTTTATCCACCTCGTGTATAAAAAAAAAATCTAATTTAGAACCGGATCTCTACCGACAAATCTATAACAAACAAGTCTCAGCCAATCAACTAGGACAAGACTTCAAGACTTTGCGTAGCCTATTGGACCAATACCAGTACAATTCCTCCCATTTGGTAGGCCCTAGCATGTTCGATGTGGGCAGCAATGATGCGACAAGAAAATATTTAGCAGACTTTTTAGCTGTCGCTTCTCCAGCAATTTATGCTGTTACTTGGCATCAGTAAATACCTATACAGTTGATTCGATATAATTTATGCTATTTTTTTAGGTATTATTTCAGTGGCAGAGGTGCAACTGAAAGAGAATTCTTAAATCCTGCTACTTTTAATTATTTAGAACAACGCACTAAAGTGGTAACAGGTATTGTGGGGGATGCCAATAAGGTTTGGTTGGGTGAAACTTCTTCAGCTTACAATGGAGGCGCCCTAAATATGTCTGACAGATTCCTAGCATCTTTTCTCTGGTTAGACAAATTGGGACTAGGTGCCAAGCTGGGACTGGAAGTTATCGTTAGACAAGCGATTTGGGGCTACAATTATCCCTTACTGGATCTTGAATATAATCCAAATCCAGTAATTTATTTGAGAAATTGACTTAGGTTTTATAAATCATTTTATTTTCTAGGATTATTGGGTGAGTGTTTTGTATAAAAAATTAGTAGGAACTAAAGTAATTTCTCTGGAGAATGATGGAGGAGATGCCAGAACTGTTAGACTATATGCGCATTGTGCTAAATCAATTCCAAATGCTGTGGTTGGTAAGTTTTTTAGTGTTGTTAATTTGATTTTGATTTGACACCAAAAATTTTAGTTTTTGGGCTTAATCTTGCCAACTCAGAAGCATCTTTCAGTCTAGCTGGTTTAACAGCCAATAACCAAGTGTCTAGCTATGAACTTACACCTGAAAATGGTGATTTGTATACCAAGTAAGCATTTTGAGTCATTATAAAATTAGTTATACTTATATTTTTTATAATTTAGGACCGTTCTTTTGAATGGGGCACCTCTCAGTCTTTCCAAGGACCTCAATTTGCCTGATTTCAATGCTAAAATTGTGGAATTCGCCGAAGCGTACTCTGTGCCAGCTTATTCGCTAGGCTTTTGGGTATTTTTTGATACCAATGTAAAGGCTTGTTAATAAATTTGAAAAAAAAAAACTTTATTTTATGCGTTTCTGTTTTGATCTTCAACTAGCAAAAATCGCTCTGGATACAAAATTAGCTTAACTATCAAGTAAAAAACATACAAACAAAAAGTTCCTAAGGTCTAAGCACGAGAATTTCGTACTCCTTGTAGGCGATCTCATGGCCATCGAAAGGAATGTAGCAGGATCCGTGACTCGGATGGACTTTTCCAACGGTGTGAGATCCGTTATGATGGGCCCTGCCAATGTACAAATTTTCACCATCGGACGTTTTTCCACCAATCACTGCGTGTTCTGGAACGCGTCCACCATGAGCAGGTACCCAATCGAATTGTTGTTCACACAAAACCTATATAACATTAATGAGAATGAGTTGGAAAAAATTGCATTGGGATTTGTTCTCACCTGGAAATTATCTACAGCGATTTCTTTGCCATCGTAAGCCACGTAGGCAACATGTTTGGCTGGCATAACTTTAGCTGGGATCCAGTCTCCACCATGGAAGGCTCTTCCGACGAAAATTTCAGCTCCATCGATGTCATGGCCTCCACGGAGAGCTGTGGAAGGAACCACTCCGTGACGTGCCTTGGTGTCTACCCAGTAGTAAGCTGGAATAAGTTAATGGACATTAAAAGTAAATTCATATAGTCGTATGAACAATTAAACTTAATATGGCAAATGAAAAATATAAGGTACTTACCTGCCATAGTTGTTTCAAAATAGACGATTGTTAATCAACTGTATCCATCAGTGAGGCTTACTACTAATTATATAGTATCATTATCTAATCTATATTATTATTTACATAATAAATATATCAATTATTTTTTTCTGGTAAAAACAAATCTGTCACTGGGCTGTACCCTATTCTGGGACAGAGTTCTTGTTTGTTCAGCACTTCATAGATAAGACTGACTAATTTGGGGCATTTGCTGTTTTTAGGATTTGAGGAAAATGTTGATGTCATCAATAGGAACACGAAACCAAAATATTTCAATTCTGCTTGCGCTCATAAAAAAATCACTCTTCTATAAGAATTTTTTAGCGACTAACCGTGTTATAAATGGTAACTGAAAGTACATCATGTTTTCAGTTACCGTTTATAACACGGTTACAAATGGTCAGTCGCTAATAAATCCTTCATGTACTTTGAATACAATCAATTATTCAAATATTTTCTATAAATTTGAGAAATTTCCACCATTCCCGAAATCACCTTGTTACTAAGCACCTATCATTTCTATTTACACAAAATCATCTTATTTTTGAAGGGTATTTACTAGAAATGTTTATTAACCACTTGAAATTAAGCATATTTTGCTGATAAATGAATATGACATAAGTGCTAATATTTATCACAATATAAATAGAAATTTGATTATTTCTTATAATCTAATTGATTTATCATGCCAGTGACTTTTTGTAAAAGCTCTGGCTGGCCAGCAAATCGATATTGAATATTCATCAAACTTTGAACGTCCCTTTGCTGGAAGGCTATATCTGCAGCTTCCTCAAACAACCTTTAAGACAAATAGGTTTTTATTTAATAACCAATTAAAAACACACTTACTCCATTTTAAGGTAATATTTCACTTTAATTTCCTCAGCAATTTTGGATAAATATTTTTTGGCTTCGCTTTTGTTGTCATTGGCCAAACAAGCATCCACAAATGGAGCATATCCCACAGGAGATTTCTTCAATTTTGACAAATTTTCTAGTTCTTTCCAGTCTCTGTGATTGGCCAGCGCAGTTATTTTCAAACACCAATACCTTAAACCAATTTATTAAATTCCCATTAAAAAAAAAACTAAAGAATATAGACCTCTTATCTGGAATCTTAAAATCGTTTTTAATTTTTTCAGCAATTTTCCACTCTTTCATTTCCATTAGAGTTTTGCAAGTGTCGTGTACGGATTTTCCTGACAACCTATTCGAGGCCTGTAGATTGTCTTCTAATTCGCGTTGGAACTTCAATAGTTTTAAATTTTCTTCACAAAGGGCTGCATATAAATCTTTGCGGCCTTTTTTATAGGCGTCTATTGCCGACATTAAAAGGGAATCTTTCAAATGCGATTTCTACAACAAATAACATGATGATTTTATTTATTACTGCCCTTTTCTTATATCACAAACGAGTAAATTCAAAGTTTTCCTAGTAGACCAAATTTAAATTCTACTTATGTACTAATTTACCAGAAAAATATTTTAATTTGATTTACCCAATTTGTCAGCCTTAATAACTATTATTGTTACCTGATCCTCTAAGCATTCTTCTATGATCATTTCAGCCTGAGATGGAAAATCGTCTTCTTGAATATAAATTTCAGTTAAAGCGGATTTATTATATTTTTTACAATATTTTATGTAAAGTGATTGAGCTACTGGAAAATTGCGAATAGTCATCTAAAATATTATAGCCATTTAAAAGATGTTTTCCTAATTTTGACTCAGGTACCTTGAAATCTGCAAGAGTCATTTTTTTTCTCAACTCCAAAATGACCATATAAACCAGATCTGTATCGCCACTTTCAATGGCTTTATGTAGAGCTGATTTGTTTTCGTGTAGTTTTAGTAAAAGCTCAACTTGCTCGCTGGCCTTAGATTCATAGTCCAGAAGCTACGATAAAGAATTTGAATTTGTAGAATAGAATTATTTGGATTTTTAGGTCTTGCCTTTATAGCCAGCTTGTTTTTGCCACATTCTGAAGCTTTTTCAGCAATTTCCCTATAAGAAACACCTGAAGAATATCCAAGTTTTTCAGCTATTTCACGTGCCACGCTTTCTTCTTCTGTTTGATGTTGACTAACCTATGTAGAAAATGTAGTTTTATCATACAACAATAATAGGATAAATATTACCTTATACTTGGCCCAATGCACCAAAATATAGCTACTACCAACATGTTCTGGTAGTTTTAAATAATTTGCAATTTGCAATGCTAAAAAGTACATATTTCTTACTATTAACCTATCAAGCAGGGTTTTTAGAGATTCATTTTCATCCGATGTGTTGCTGGAATCTCGAAATTTCATATATTTTAATCTTAGAGAAGTTAAGGATACATTTTATCTAGGTACTGAAAACTGGAAAAATCGTCTTTATGAAAATGTTACTTTATGTAAAATTTTAAAAACAAACAAACAAATCACCACCATAGGTGCTTTAAAAAAATTTCAGTGCACATACAAAACTTTGGATTATTGTAGATCGGAATCAAAAAGGATACTGTTCAATTGTCAAAGGTATTCCGACTTTAGGGTCCCTTATTGCATTCAATACCCTCAAAAGCCTACACATTTCCACATATTTATCAGAATTAATGCCAGAAATGAAGCATTTTCCAAACTGAGCGGCTCTTATAAGCATTTTTTGAATATCTGGATTAAATTCGTACTTTACAGCGTCCAAACATTGCTTAACAGCTTCTTCGAGATTCTTCTTTATTTCAGTGAGGTATTCGTTGGCCTTATGACTACCACTCTGGAATTTTTTGGATGCTTCCAAAAGATAACATCCTGGAGCGGTACTGTTGATTCTGAATATTTTTTGAACCACTTCAGGCACTTTTTGCAACAATTCGTGGTGGGCACTGGTAATAATTCGTACACCATCGATTTCTGGAACCAAATGAACAGAACTGTCGTAAATGTAGGTTTGAGTTTGACCATTTTTGCCCACTACAAGGACAGTGTGATCTGTTTCCCAATAAACTACCACAGTTTCATTGCCGCACCTTAAAAAAAGCTATAAGTATACAATTTTAAAAAAAAAATCTCATTTACCAAACTAGTTGCTTAGGTCTATGAATGATATTGGTGTTAATTTCGCAATATTTATGTCTCAAATCAGTGGAACCAAGCCAAAGATGTTCAGAATCCGTAAAGAAACATAAATGACGAGCATTCAAAGAAATCGCCATCTCTAAAATGGCATGATAGGGCACTGAAATGTCTGGTTGTAGCTAGAAAAATGTTGCATTGATTAATTGAAAATGAAATATTTTATAAAACTACCATTGCGCTGGTATAATGTTCATCCTGTTTAAGTCTATAGAGTTCCTTATCTCTAGCAAAAAGGACTTCTGTGGACGATTCTTCTGATATAATGCCCCATGTTGGCCAGGTTGATTCAGAAGGGGATTCTAAATTTTTTCAAATATTTACACTATAATCTTTTACAAAGCTAGTTCTTACTTGGTACATTACTAAGTTGTCTAGATTTAATATCCTTAATACTGTTTACAACAAACACATTAAAGTTGGCTGTCATCACAGCAATTCCAGTAACATTTTTGGAATTTGTAAAAACTTTAGCATCAATGATTTTTGCATCGTGAACTTTTTGGAAAACATTAAACTTGTGCACCAATTTACCAAACATATCAAAAATTATGACATTGCCATCGTCTTGTATGCATATAAGTTTTTCGTCGTTTGACCAGCCCATGTGGACAATAGGCCTATGAGTCCACTAAAAAAAATTCCCATATTACAACAAATTGAGACTGTTTTAGTTGTTACTACTTTAAACGATGTTATAGCTTTTCCTGATCCGGAAAAAATCGAAATAACAGGCTGAGCAGTGCCGTGGAGTTTGATAGTTTTCTTGTTGTTTCTCGTCAGGGCCAAGGGGCCTCCGTATGAGGCGGAGGCCGCAACGAAATTTTCCAGTTTTATTTCTTGGTTCCATTCCATCGAGTAGATTTCGAATTTTCTGGAATAATTTATGACAGCGGGTTGAGGAAGGAAATAAATGAATATATTATATAATTGCCTTTTAAGTATAGGAGAATAATATCATGATAAGTGGATAGATCAAGAGATGAACAGGGTATAAATTGGATTTGTATGTATAGGTTTTAGTAAGTCTAGTTTAAAAATAAGTGTATTATTAATTAATATGAATTTTAGATGCAATAAAATCATACAAAATTTCTGTTAAATCACCTTTGGAAGCGTCTGAAAAATACTTCAAGCAATCAGAGGGACTTCAAACTTTCAGGATTTATTGAGCAGAGTCTTTTTATGAAACAGAACACACTGCGAATGGATCTTGGCCTCAAAAATGGAATAATGAATTTTTTTCCACATAGATGCAACAAAATCATACAAAATGTTCATTAAATCAACTTCGGAAGCTTCTGAAACATACTTCAAGCAATTAGAGGAACATCAAACTTTCAGGATGTATTGAGTAGGGTCTTTTTATCAAACAGGACAAACCGCCAATGGATCTCAGGCTCAGAAATGGAATTCCTTATGAATTATTTCTCACACACATACATCTGATGTTATCTGATTTACAATAGGGATTAAGTATCTGACTTTACAAGTTAAATAATATGCTGAATTACATTTAAAAAATCTGAATTACAAGTGAGGTTTTCTGAATCATTGAAAAAATCTGAATTTGAAAAATCTGAATTACAAATTACAATCAAGGTTTACTACTGAAATACATTGTATTTCTACCTGAATTACAATTTAGTTAAACTGTGAATCAGGTTCCCTATAAGACTAGAAGCTGAGAACAATTAATTGTAGTGTGTGGAACAATTTTCTTAAGATTCCCCACAAGAATTGATTGTATTTATTGAATAATTGGATTTTGTAGGTAGTTACCTATATAGGTCTGGTCCTAAACGAAACCAGTCTGCTGTAATTAGTGCACTCGACATGTTTCACCTATTTAAATTTAACAAAAAGAAGTTTAGGGCGTATAATAATAAAAGATTAGTAATAATTGAGATAAATAAATAAATACAATTATTTTGAGGATTGTAGGTTAGGTTTTCTTGACATCCAAATACAGTTTCCTGTAATATTCTTTTTTAATTATATTTTATATTTGATCATTAAAGGAAAAATAATTCTAGTATCGACCCAGGTATTCTATAAACTATGTTTGTCTTGTAATTTTGTTTCAAAACTATTACAACAATCATAATAATAGCTTTTAAACAAACGTAAAAACAGATAAAGTATTGAAGCATAGATGGCACCACTGTTTATTACTTCAAAAAATGACAAGTGCCAACTAGTTTTTGGCGGCAACAATTTTTGTATTTTTGTTTACGTTTTTGTTCCCTAATTTTTATTACAAGTTTTAATATTTTTTCTTGTTAACACAATGGATAATCCGAAGAGTGACCCCGTAGTAATAACGAACCTTTCGACACTGGAATCATTTTTATCAGAATCGGCGAATTTCCGTAACGTCTCCTACATATCCCCAATACCAGAAGTTTGCAAAGAATACCCGTGCATTCTGGGCATAGACGAAGCTGGAAGAGGCCCGGTGCTAGGCCCCATGGTTTATGGTACCGCCTTTATACCTATCAACGATCAAATGCTTCTGGAAGTCTTGGAATGTGCAGATTCCAAAGCCCTCAACGAAGAAAAACGTGACACTATCTTTGGCAATATATGCGAAAAATCTAGCAAAATGGGCTGGGCCGTTGAAGTTATCGCTCCTAACTCGATTTGTAATAGTATGCTGGGCAGATCTAAGTATTCTTTGAATCAAGTTTCAATGGATTCAGCTATAGGTTTAATAAGAGCTGCTTTGGACAATGGAGTCAAAGTTCAGCACGTTTATGTGGACACTGTTGGTAAACCAGAAAAGTATCAGGAGTATTTGAAAAGCCTATTTCCTAATCTAGACATAGTTGTCGCAAAAAAAGCTGACTCCACTTATCCTATTGTATCAGCTGCTAGTATTTGTGCCAAAGTAACCAGAGATCATTCCTTGAAAGTTTGGGACTTTGTTGAAGGAATTGATGTTAAAGAATTTGGCAGCGGTTATCCTGGAGGTAATATTTGTGCCTCAATTTCTTTATAATAATGTCAAATTTTCTTTAGATCCAGTAACAAAAAGATTCTTGGTTGATAACTGTGATCCAGTTTTTGGATATCCACAGCTGGTAAGATTTAGTTGGTCAACTGCGGCAAACGCTTTGGAAAATCATGCTTACCATGTGGAATTTGAAGAAGTAAGTAATTTATTCAAATATTTATTTAATTTTTTTAAATTTATTTGACTTACATCAGGCCGATGAAGATAATAATACCCCACAGCAAACCTCGATGTCAATAACATCATTTTTCAAAATGACTAGTAGTAAAACAAAGGAAAAGACTATGCATGAATTTTTTACACAAAGATGTCTCAGTAGAAAAGTTGAACTGTGAAGTAATTTTATTGTATTTTAATAAAAAAATCTACTCATTCAATGCTCTATGATATTCCTTAAGCCTTATAGCGTGAATATTGATAAAGCCAGTAGCATCTTCTGGACTGAATCCAGAGTGTTTGTCCATGGAAACTAAATCAGCATTGTAGAGGGAGGATTTTGATGAGCGGCCTAAGATGGTCACTAAAAAAAAAATTGTGCAAATAAGCAAAAATTTGTATCCAAAACTTCTTACCTGATCCTTTGTATATTTGCAGTTTCACAGTTCCCTCTACAGTGTCAGCAGCCAAATCAAGACATTTCCTTGTATATTGTCCTTCTGGCGAAAACCAAAATCCATTATAAACATAATCGGACAATCTAAAACAACACATTTTTTTGTTTGTTTTAACTATAATTCTTTAGTATTTACTTGTCTCTTAAAGTTTGCTTCACCCTATAAATTTCTTTATCAAGACAAAAAACTTCCAAGTCGGTGTGAGCATGATGAAGAATCGTCACTCCAGGTGTTTCGTATACCCCACGCGATTTAAGTCCCAAAAATCTATTCTCCACAATATCGATACGACCCACTCCATGTTTGCCTCCAATTTCATTTAATTTCAAAAAAATTTCCAACGGTTCATTGTAAATGGAAGAAGTTTCATCATCAATCAATCTAACTGGAAATCCTTTAACAAAACTAATCTCTAATCTACAAAAAAAACAATAAATAAAACTAAACCACCTTATATAGAACCAATTGCCTAGTTCCTTGCTTTGGAGCTTCTCTAGGATCTGCACTCATCAAAAATAAATCCTTGGGTGGTTCCTGATTTGGATCCTCCAAAATTCCAGACTCATAAGAGATGTGCATCAAATTCGCGTCCATGCTCCATGGCGCTTTCGGAGTCACAGAAACTGGAATATTGTTTTCGGCGGCGAATTTTAATAAATCCTGCCTGCCTTCGAATTTTTCTATAAACTCTTTGATGCGCCAAGGAGCAATAATCTTAAGAAGAAAAATTGTCAGAAAAAATATTGTCTATATTTATTACCTACCTTTACATCTGGAAGTAAAGTATAACAGGACAATTCAAATCTAACTTGATCGTTTCCTTTTCCTGTTGCCCCATGGGATACATAACTGGCATTATTTTGCTTCAAAATTTAAATTAAAATAAAATACATATATTATTATTTATGTAGGTACCTTAACGCAATTGATTAAACCAACTGAAATACATGGACGAGCCAGAGAAGTTCCTAGAAGGTACCTATTCTCATAAACTAGACCATAACTAACTGCTGGCCATACATAGTTTTTAATGAAGTCTTCTCTTATATCCTCAATTACCACCTGAATTTATAAGACATTTGAAAATACATATTCACATATATGATTGACTTACTTTTGAGGCGCCAATTTTTAATGCTTTTTCTTCGGCCGCAGCAAAATCTTCATCCTGACCGATATTAGCCATATAGCAAATCACTTCAAAGCCCTTATTTATCAACCATTTCAATATACAGCTGGTGTCTAGGCCTCCGGAATAGGCTAAAACTACTTTTTCTTTAGTCATTTTGATTAAATTGTGACAAAATTTATTTTGGAATGCTCTCTTTTATTAAAAAAAAAAAAAAAAAATGCTAAAGGTTACGAAGTGATAACCTTTCTGCTCTATCAGCAAGTCTCGTGATTCTTGTGTTTATTCGAAAAGACAGATAGATAGAAATTTGTTGACCAAGTAGACTAAAATTAATTTTTCTATCAATACTATGAAGATACCTTTACTGTGGCTGAAGGTTGAAGATTTTAAAGACAATTATCATACCTTCACGAATAAAAATCAACAAGCAAAAGCCTTTTTGAAACTCAGCATTTTTTATTCCACAATTCATTTAATTATTAGGCAAACTTTGGATAAATACCGTATTTCCCAATTTCTGTGGTTGATCTTTTTACTTTCATATATTGAAATTTGTGTTATTTCCAAGATTGAATTATCATTAAAACTTTAACAAGGATAGAGAAAGTAACCCAACAAAACAGAAATCAGTAATAATCAAAATTATTTGGACTAAAGAGCCAGTGTAAGCTATCCAAAGAAACAAGAACCGACAATAATAAAAATTTGAACAATTTCTAGTGTATGAATGGCAATCCAAATTTAGACTACCTACTATAACCGGTATTGAATTGCTTTTGAAAAAGGTATCCAGCGAAACAACAGACGACGATATTCAAAATTTGGACTTCTACCCCCTCTAGAAAAAAAGATTTATGGAATTAGGAATCCGTTATAGCCTAAAATTTGATTATTACTTGCTATTGTTTACCTTCTTGGGTATGATTATTATCCAACAAAAAAAAACAGTAAATATAATCAGAATTTGGACTATTACCGGCTCTTGATTGCGTCTGGAAAAGTTATTCAGCCGAACAAGAGCCTGTAATATCCAGCCCAGCTGTAAAAGGGTTACAATATCATAAAGGCACTCTGGTTTACGTTCCGCTAGCCTGGAGTGAGGATGGCGTGATACATACCAAAAGACAGGATGTCGGCCAGAGGATGAACCAAAATCCTATCGACCCATTTAGCCTAACTTACTTTCTCCTCCATACGGAAAAAGCAATGGACCAATAATATCAGAAGCGAAACTCTAAATAGCAGACCGCTTCATTTAGGACAATTTGCCTACCAAGTAGGTAAATCCACAACAAGTGCACCTCCATTATCTAGTAACAGACATCATAGAAAACGCACTTGATGCAAAAGAAATCGCTCTTGCAGCTACTTTAGATATAGAGGGTGCCTTTGATAACTCCTCACACCGAGCTCTTGAAGATAGGGGAGTAGAAACTTCCATTATAGGATGGACAGAAATCATGCTGAAAAATCGCTTAGAATCGTCGAAACAGTTACTGTCACCACGGTTAAAGCACAGTTGTTAAAGGATGCCCACAAGGTGGTGTCCTTTCGCTTTTCCTGTTGATACTAGTGGTAGATAGCATCCTTTCCAGACTAAGCAACGTCGGAATAAATGTCCTGGACTACGCAGATGATCTGGCGGTAATAATCAGAGGCAACGAACCCAATGCAAAGTGCTTTGACTATAATCAAAAACTAGAGCGAGGAAGAAGGACTTTCTATAAATACCAGCAAAACAACCTTATAGTTTCGTTTACGAAAGGAAGGAAACTGGATCTGTAAGCTCCCATTCTAAACGGCACTCAAGTATCTCTCTCGGATGAAGTTAAGTAAAAAAAAAAGGAAACTTACCTACTCGGAACAACCATCTGAATAAAACAACATCTCTGATCAAATGGAAAAAACGACTGAATGCTAGCTGATTGGAGATCCATTCCGAATATGAGACTTGGCAAAAAGGTTCATATCCATCTAAGCAAAGAGATCTGAACAACTTCATGACATAGAACAGACATTAGAACAGTCAATCTGCTCACTGGACATTGCCTGGTGAAATATCACCTAAAAACATTAGGCAGATCAGACAACGACCACTGCAGATCTTGTGTACAAGCAACGGAGGAACTTCAGAATATTTAATCTGTGAATCCCCTGCTCAGTTTTGCAAAAAGCTGAAATACCTTGAAAGGGTACTTTACCACCCATGAAGCTGGCCTCCTTTGGCAGAAACCTACAAATCTTGGACACCAACCAGAAGAGTTCAGAAAATGAAAAGAAAGCATTCCTGGAAGGAGTAAAAGTTTACATTTAAGTATAAGTTTCGTACCCCAAAGCAAGAAAAGAACTGCTTCTCCGAAACTCAAATTATTGAGTCTAGATAACGACAATTGAATCAGTTCAAAAAACATGGAAATTCACAGCTTCATTAAGAGATGTCGCCTACAGATGTAAAAACTTAAAAACTACCTACTTGTTGATTGCATCAGAAATCTTATGTTCAAGCAAATAAGCCAAAGATTATTGAAACGAATTTAGCAAGTTCGTTACAAGATGTCGCTTGTAGATTCAAAACTGAAAACCAGAATGTTAAATTCGAGATTCAATATTACTTTGCGAGAAAAGTTTGAATGGGAGATATCGTTTCTTTCATATAGGTACAGGATGAGTTTTAAGAATGGAACGTCTGTTGACGTTCTCAATTGAGACGTTTCATACATAAAACTTAGTAGGTACCTACATATTTTTCCGATTTTGAGCAAAATTGACAATAAATAAAACACAAAAACCTAATGGGAATAATTTTTTTTATTGATAAATCAAATAAATAATATTGTACCATGTAGAGCAAATAAGCAAATATTTTTTTGTACTTTTTTCCATTTAGTATCAATTATTGTTTTATAAATAAGGCACATTCTTTTAAAACTTTAAAACATTCCATTTTCCTTTGACATAATCACTCTACATGTTACACATTGCAGTCTATATAATCATTAAACTACTATACCTATAGAAGAGAATATATTTACAAAATTAAACTAAAAATTAATAACACAAATTTAAGGAAGTTAAGGGCCAGTAGGTTCTTGGTCCACAAATAAATGTGTTAACGAAACTAGTCCGGGAGATTCAACAATAGGAACATTTTTTTTATAATCTCCAATTCACTTTTGGCACTATATTTTAATCATTATCGTCCTTCTTCTTTCTCAATTTCCCTTCTCTCTGAATGGTTCTCGACACTAAATCCACACACTCAGACGTAGAGGGCTGATCTGGATCAGACGTATTGTCACTTTCATTCACTATACTTGACAATGTCATGATGTAAGAGCAAGCAATTCTAAGCACTGACAATTTGGATAGTTTTTGGTTATTTGAGTAGGCTGGAACTGATTGACGTAAAGTGTCGAATGCGGCTGAAATTGTATGAACTCTGGTTCTTTCGCGGGCATTTGCTTCTATCCGCCTTTCTCTGGTCATGTTTTTGTAGTTGCGCTGCTCCCTTTTAGTTTCCACACTTGTTTTCCTATTGTCATTATTGAAAGTTGTAGGTTTCAATCCAGGAAAATGCTCGTTTGTTTTTAGGATCATACGCTCTGTTTCGGCTATTGTCATTTTGCCAACATGAGGATGTACAGGCACTCGGATGTCAGTTTTTTGAGGTTCTTTTTCGCGTTTTATTACCAGAGGTAGGGGTTCTGTTTGTTGCAGGGGTGAGGGAGGACGGAAATAGGAAAAATTTGTTTCTTTTAGATTTGGGCTAAAACTTGGAGTTTCGACTTTGATTCGTGGAAAAGGCACTGCGAAGTTGTTGGAGTTTTTAGGCGGACTCCACGGACGAAACGGAGTTTTTCCATTGTTGTTGGCTTCCGCTTGGACTTTGAGGCACATGCGTTTTTTCAGCGGCCCGGAGAAGATTGTAGGAGTTTCTTCAAGTTTACGTTTGTTGAGGGTGATTGCGGACACTTTTACTTCGACGCTATCTTCACTACTGTCTGTAGGAGAATGGATTTCGTGTTCCATGTAGTCTTCTCCTGAACAGAATCCAGTGTCCTCGTGGTGGATTGAACTTGTCATTGCGGAATCTGGAATAGAAAAAGTTGTATGTTAGTGATGTACATATATAATCATAATAGATCAGTTTATCTATGTATTACAATTTCTGTTCAGGTGTCATTTACATAAGTATTAATTGTTGATGTCAGGTACAAAAATGTTGCTTCATCTATTTCATTTTTTCCATTAAGATGACTTCATTCGTATTTATAATTAGCAGAATCTGATTGATACAAAAGTTTATCATTTTCGCAATTTGTGTTGTGACCCCAAATAAAGAATTTGTATATTTACAATAGATATGCAAATCCTTATCTTTTTTGTTTAAATCCAAAACAATTTCACGTGAAAGCAAAATATGATTTTAGGTACCTAAAGGGCCCCATTCACGTTGAGAACGGTATCGATACATGTATCTGAAATTTGTATCTATGTTTCAATTGCTCCTACACGTTGAGATGAGCTCAGGAAGCATCAGTTCAGTCACAAGTTTAGTTGAATCAACATGGACATAATTTACCTAAATTCAAAAGTTCCTCCCAAAACTCACGATCTTCCATGTTGAAAACAACTCTGTTTATATTTTATAGTAGCGTTATACTAATAAACTTCAACATACACGTTGAAACAAGTATCAGTTGCATGGGTTCAGTATCGAAGTTTCAGTACAGTGATACAGACAGTGATACCATCTGATACCGATACAGCGATACTGAGACAGACTAACAGTGAGATTTGTATCAAGATACTGATATTTGAGACATGTATCGATACATGTTTCGCGACAAGCAACGCTACATGTATCTGAAATTTGTATCTATGTTTCAATTGCTCCTACACGTTGAGATGAGCTCAGGAAGCATCAGTTCAGTCACAAGTTTAGTTCAATCCACATTTGAAAACAAAATGGTGCCGTCTCCCATACATGTGCTTGTAGCAGTGGCAGTTGCATTATCAAACGTTTCAAAGAAGAAAAAAGACAAAAAAGAATATGGAAAAAGAAATGGTTATGTGAGAGAAACAAATATACAGTGGTAATTGAGAGAATTAAAAGTCGACGAACCAAATATTGGATGTAGTAAAATCAGAAAATTCCTCCCAAAACTCACGTTCTTCCATGTTGGAAACAACATTGTTTCGGTATCGAAGGTTTAGTACAGTGATACCATCTGATACCGATACAGCGATACTGAGACAGACAAATACACAGTGAGATTTGTATCAAAATACTGACATTTGAAACATGTATATCTGAACGTGAATGGGGCCTTTAAGTATAATTTTGTTCTTGTCTCAAAACTCATTTTTCATATTAGCCAAGACATTGCTGCAAACATTTCACCATCATCCATTAAAAAAACCCAAAAAATTTTGCAATAATTTTAATTTTAATTAATAAACATTAGCGAGCGAAGCAATAAATAATCTTAATGGCCCATAAAAATGTAATTTTGCGTCTACAGAATGGATTTCGGAATGGCTACTACATTTTTTTAAAATGATATTGTATATTGCTGCGTTTTTTCTGACTTATGAACCTCATTGCTGCAGAACTCTGGAGTGAATCAGAATAATAAGAAAAAAAAAAAGAGAAATTCATTAATGCAAAACAATTTTATCAACAACTGTACATTTTTTTCCATAAAGCCAGGTGCGTAGTACCTCTAAATTATTATTGTACCATACCGCACGCACGCGATCTGACATCAATTTTCCCGTTTCATACCCGATAAACACCTGGCGAACGAGTAGGTACCGCTTTCTGATAATTAAACGGACATTTCTCGCGATTTTAACTTTAATCGAGATCATCTTATGGGATAGGTGCGCTATAAGGCCACGGGTTTTCCTACTATTTGAACAAACAACATCTTGCAGACGGTCGAATTTTAGTAGAACACCATAATCAAGATTGGGATTGAGTCAAGTAGCACCTGATATATGAGTGGTAGGTAGGTATGCTAAAACGGTTTATATAATAATATGTAACTTATGTGTGCGTGATTTTAAAAAAAAAGTTCAAGATGTCAGCATAGGTACCTATTAGTTAGACTTAAGAAAACATAATTGAGGAATTATTGGTCAAGAAGTGCAAAGTCCAGCAGTTTCAATTTTAAAATTTCTTGTGTGTGTTATTCTCACAAATGATTATAGGTGAGGGTAGGAACTATCAAATAAGAAATTGAGAACTTTAACCCAAAGATTTTTTTCCAGAATATCAAGCCAGGATTATTGAATAATTCAAGTTCTCATGCACCTAATAATTAGTACCTACATGGAAAAAATCCTTATCAGAAACCGTCACCTTGATCATTGATGACAAAATTTAAGTACATGTTTGTATATACCTGACGCAGCCAAATGTACTTTATTAATCTGGTACTCGTGTCTTCTTTAACAATACCTAATGAGCGTCACTGATATTTTCAAATAATGTCTATTAGGTACATGAATCTTCCTTAATAGAGACTTAGAGACTCATATGGATATATTTGTTATGTAGAAGAATACAGTTTGATATTGTTAAAAATTCGCATGAATGTATGTTTTTGTCACATGTTTTCTGATACATTTCAATGATTTGAAGTTTTGCAAAAACCAAGGTAAATAACGATTTTCTGTAATTTGGGTTTGATATCTGAACATCTCTTGTTTTGGAAGTTTTGCAACATAATTCTTTTTCCTTAAGATTTGACTTTCAAATAATTTGTTGTTAATTGGCAAATAATAATGAGTTTTTTGATTTTCAATAAGATCACTGTTTCAAATAATGTAAGTACCGTTTAAGTACTAATAATTAAAAAAAAAAAAAAATTTACATACCTTCAAATCTCAACGAATTATTCCCATTCGTCATAATACCATGAAACATTTAAAATTCACTTTTAAGTCACAGCACACAACTTATAAGTCAGTCTTAATTTTTGGCACTCTAATCACTCCTTGACTAATTAACTTTAAAAAAAAAAGTCTTACTTTGCACTGAGAACCGTTCGCTTGAAGCAAACCTTGCCGACTAAAGTCCGGGTTGACATGATTGTTTTTGTTGTAAAGGCGGCAGGACCAGGACAGGGACAGCGACAGAGGGGGCGGCAGCGGAGGAGGAGGGGCGTGCTGGCGCCAGCTGTCTGGACAAGTGTGAGAGTTAACAGCAGTCCCGCTGGGAAGGAATTTGTTGGGTCGGCAGGTGTACACCATGGCGATGCAACGGACTTGGCCTAATCTGATATGGGTACCTATAGTAGGTAGTCAGTGGCGGATTAAATTGATGATTATTTTTTTTGATGGTACCACAGGTGCTACTCTTTGACTATGGTGAATGGCTTAGAATTATTGTTGATTGTTGGTAGGTACCTACTTATTACAACTTTTTATTGGAGTAGGAACAACTAGTTGACATATATAACTTCATAATAGCAATAATATTAATCCAATGTATTTCACATTCATGAAACCTATAGGTATTATGAACCAAATAAATTCCACAGATTCTGAAACAACCCTATCCTCAACATAGCTTCTTTCCTCTCTCTTTCTCCAACGGATTTTGTAGATTCTTCTATAGTCACTACTGAACGTGAGAAATCATGATTATCTATTCATTTTCCAATTTTCTGCGTCCACTGCTGGACATAGACATTCCCTTCTTGGACTGTACGCGGATCAAATTGGTAATGATTTTTCTGATGTCATCTGTTGAGCGACATGAATTCTCATTTTTTGACATGATTTACATTGGGTTGTTTGTTAGGAAAAGTGATATGATAACGGTCAATGTTTCAATATTTGCAGATATTATAAGTCTTGAAGATTTCCATCTAAGTTTCTACCTATAGCCAGATAGCACAGACCGTCCTTAGGACGTGTCCATTTTAGATCCAACGTCCATTCAAACGTCTCTGGAAATTCTTATTTGAATATCCCTAGAAGTTGGACTTCCTTGGAAATTCCCCTTTTATAATGTCACATATGTATGTTTTTTTTTTTGATCTCCTTGAATGTTGTATTCTCAACATCTCTAGGAGTTTTCTTTGAACGTTCGTAGGAGCTTTGTTTACATTTACACAGTCCCAGGATTTCCTCCTGTAGCGTCCATGGGACTTTTTTCCAGGAGGTTCTCCGTATGAGACGTTTTGTAACAAAATTTATCCCGAGGAAGATCAAGGAATCTTAATAGACATAGGTACTCGGGACTTGCGGATATCCTCAAAACGTTGCTAGTAGGTACCTATGCACTTGCCAGTCGCTCGGTGATTTTTCTGGACAATCAAGAGCCAGTAATAGTTCAAATGATTATTACCGGCTCTTGAGTTACTGGGTACGTTTTCTTGACAGTCAAGAGCCGATAATGTTTCAAATTTTGATTATTACCGGTTCTTGAGTCATTGGATTTCATTATTACTGGCTTTTGAGTCGCTGGGTAATTTTGATAGACAATCAAGAGCTGGTAATAGTTCAAATTTTGTTTATTACCGGCTTTTGAGTCCCTCGTAGGGACATAAAGCTACTTGAAATAATTCGCCGGTATCGGTATCGGTATCCGTAACGCAACTAGATACGTTGACAAGCGAAAATGCTGTTAAAGCGCCCCCCTGTTCCGGTAAACGTAAACGCATCTCATAACCTAGAAATTTTTGTCTCAAAACTCCGGCGTTTTTATATCTAACCTTAAAATTGTTATTTTTTTTGCGATAGAGAAGCACTTAACACAAAAGAAACTCAAAAAAGTATAAACTAAAAAAATTGAATCGACCCGGAAGAAAAGTGAGGTTATATTCATTAAAAATTTGTCACATGCGTCACGAATGTCAAGATACGTTACCGATACGGATACCGCGAGAGGACCGTAATATTACGTTCTACGTACGGTATCTCGGCCTCCGTATCGCTTCTGCACATGCGCAGTACGCTACCGATACGGATACCGAGCAAAAAATACGGAAGCTTTATGTCCCTAATAATTTCTGTAGACAATCGGGAGCCGGTATGGGACGTCCATTTTAGATTTTAATATCTCTAGAACTTCTTGGACATCCCTGGGACATGTCACATGTTCTTTTTGAATCTCCTTGACCTTGAATGTTGTATTCTTAACATTCCTAGGAGTTCTCTTTGAACCATTGAGGTAGAATAAAAAGGAGGCGACATGAGGAAAAAAAAGCGTGTCCACTTCCGCCATATTGTTACGACACTTCTGTCATCTTTGTCATAGCAACTCGTCAGGGCCGCACTCTATTCCAAGATTTTTTAAATGCGAAAAATTTTTGAAGCCCAGAATTCCTAATTTGGGTCTTGGAAGGATCTCCTGTTTCAGTATGTTGAAGTTTCTGTAGCAACTTTTTCTTTCTTGATGTAATCTCGATTTTTTTACGTTTTTAGGTAGAAATTATAAAGAATCCATTTAATTCGGCTCTGTTTAAGTAGCCATATTGTTCCGACACTTAGCCACGCCTACCGATGCCGTTTTCTATTGCACTATTCAAACGATGACAGAGTCTCCTTATTATTCTACCTCAATGCTTTGAACGTTCTTAGAAGTTTTGTTTACATTTATTTAAACAGTCCCAGGATTTCCTAAGGATTTCCTCCTGTAACGTCCATTTTGTGACAACATTTATCCCAGAGAAGATCAAGAGGCGATTTCGGCAAGCTTTGGTTGGTATAGTCGTATTCACCATAGAGTTTGAATTTTGACCGTTATTTTCACCAGTTGAAAATAAATAAAATCTCCAGATCTGTCCCTTTTTCTGACAACTATCAAATAATGATACATGACATTAAATTTTTCACCTTGTACATACAGATGGCACTAGGTTCGTAGTGAGGTTACAGTGAGTGAGGTTAGGTTGAAATGAAAAACAGAAAACAGTGAGTCCGGGCCCCGGGGTCTTTATTCTTGAAAGGGAAACACGCGAGCAGCGTTCCCAAGAGAACGAGTGTTCCGTCTTTCTCAATGATATGCAACTAATAATATAAGCTTGAATATAAGTAACAAAGACGGAACACTCGTTCTCCTGGGAACGCTGCTCCCTTGTTTCAAGAATAATGACCGGATAAATCCGGTAAATACCCCGAGCCCATAGGCGTTTTCGATTGGTAGATTAGGATTAGATTTAATGCGCACTGGCGCATCTGAGTACTGAGTGTATTTCCAGCTCTTTTTCTCAGCCTGTTAAAGAAACAGATAGAAACACAAACACATTTCCTTTGCACTAGATATTTCTACCAACCTGGAAGCGCCTTAATGGCCATAAGTTATTTCATTGTTTCTGCACTGTGCAGAATGCAAAGTATGTGCGAAGAAATATATTTAATAATTTAACTTACATATTCAGGCCCGGTTTAGGTATTCATCTTCAGATAAACTTGCTGGTAACTATCTACAAGATAAATGTACTGTTCTAGGATTCACTTGGTCGGCGGATAACTGGCGGATCAACGAGATTACAGATTGCGTTTTTATCCAGCAGATTGCAAACCTGAGAGTTTATCAGAAGATGAATAAGCCGGCCCTTAATATTAGTTTTGACTAGTTTTGAGGAAACTCCTTCAAAAATGAAACCTAGAAGATATGGAAACATTCCAGACAAAATAGGGAAAACAAAATTTCTATGTGAATTTTGTGATTTTAGATAGGTACCTACCAAAAAAGTGCAAAAAGACCCAAATGATGTTAGGAAGCTATATTCTTCGAAATTCTCCAAAATTCTCTAATATTCCCGAATATTCTCCGAGAAAATTCTCTCAAAATAAATTCTCGAGATTTACCATCTCCAGGACAGACATTGCCGCCTGAAAACTATCAGCAGTACCTTTAAGTAACCTATTGGCTAACTCGGCGTTTTCTGTAAATGTAAAGCTTATTCCATTCAGCAAGAAAGTTACCTCATATCTGTCGGTTAAAGCCAATTTTCAAATTATTGTTAAAAATTATTTTGCAGTCAAAACATAAGAGAAAACAGGAAGATGAAGGCGAAAAACCAAACATATATTTGTCAAAAATTTCAAATTCCAACGAACTTCCGTTTATTTACATTTCCCAGAGCAGGACAAAACGAAAATAGACGTAATAGCACTACACCAAACGAGAAAAACCGTGCTGCTGACAGAGCTGTTGTACTAAGTATTTTAGATACTTGAAGTAAATACTTGAGTACAAAAATATACTTAAGTATTTGACTTAAGTACATTGGTACTTGTACTTGTAATTTCAAGTTTTTCAAATTTAACTTGTACTTAATACTTATAATATCAGTCAAGTATATTTTACTTGAAAGCTTTTGAAAATTTGTACTCAAGTGATATTAAACTATTTAAGTACTAGTAAAATTACTTGAAGTAAATATTTCTGATTGAAGTATTTTTAAATACTTCAAAATTTACTTGAAGGCTAAATAAAGTTTTGTCAATTTATCGCGTGACGTCATAAGCACACGCAAAAACTGCAAAACCTATTTAAACTGACACAGCAATAGGTGTGAGAACGCAAAAACAATACAATAATGTCGATAATAGCGCTGTTCCAACCGACATGAGAAACGTTCTAGAACGGTAATTTTCAGTCGATCAATACATTTCTCAAGTAGGATAAACGTTTAACTTAGGTGGGCAACTGACAATTACTGGTTCTGGAACGGTTCTCATGTCGGTTGTAACAGAGCTAATATATGCAGCAAGAATCAGAAAACGTGCGCCAGCGGTCGGACTCAGTTTGTGCATATGACGTCACAGTGCTAGGAGTGCGGGAGCTTTATACCACGGTATCTTCACAACGGTTGGTCGTAGCCTAGTGCGGTTTGAAAATTTGTTATTGGATTTTTATTTTCTAAAACTTTTATTTTTGGGTCGCACCCCCTTTAAGATTATCGATAG